AGAAAAAGGAAATACTAGTATAAGTATAATGCCGTTCTGCGATTCTGCGTCATTAGAAATCCATTAACGAATTAAAAATTGCATACGTGTATTTTTAAGTTTTCAAAATTCAGCAATATTCAAGGGTTTCCGGGCTAGTGGAAGGTGAATTACAGATGGAAAGGTGCAGATAAAATATTAGCTTTAACATAAAAATTCTCTCCATAAATTCAGATTTTATGTTAAAAATATATCAGAGATAAGGCCGATTGGAAAGAAAAATACTCAGTTCCTTCGTCAGGCTTCGATCAAAGATCCATTAATCAGGAACTTAAAATTAAACTTTTATGGAAGACAAGTGAAGATCACTTCAAGGTTCAATTTTTGCCAATAAAAATTTTACCCTGACGCTTTACAGTTTTTTAAAATTAATTTTTTTTGTATTTAAATAATTTATTTTAAATTACAACCACAATATTACATTATATTTGTGGTGATTAGTGACCGTTAGTCGATGATTATTCGGAGATCGTGAGATGCGGTCTGATGTGACGTAGATTTTAGAAAAACACTTTCTTTATCGTGCCAACGTTTCGATCTTTATTGAGATCATCATCAGGGGTCAAAGTGTTTGTTTTCCGCTGGCCCATGGCACAAGCCACACTTTCAACACCACAAGTTCACAGCCACACACAAGAATGGCACAATTACGCAGAAAACAAACACTTGGAGCCCTGATGATGATCTCAATAAAGATCGAAACGTGGGCACGATAAAGAAAACGCTTTTCTAATACCAGACCGCATCTCAAGATCTCCGAAGAACTACATTATATCTTGTAATTTTGTTTTTAATTTATTTACAACTCATGGAGTTGGGAAACAGGTTTTTATATTCCTTTTGTTATTTGAAACATAACTTTACACTTTTATCATTGTAGCCTGCTTAAAATATAGTTAACATCACTGCTAACCAAACGGTAAACTGGTTTCGAATTTCCTTCTGAGGAGAATGAGGAGCTAAAAGCTCCTTGTATGCGGCACGGTTAAAGTTTTGTTAAGTTCCTTTTTTTGTTGAGGGTGCGCAGGTCAGCTATCTCCTTCATACTGGTGAATGACCATTGACAGTTTTACGTTTGAATTTCTTCCACACCTGCAGGCCCAGGTCGTAGGTAACTGTCGTCAAAACAAATTGCCCCAGAAGATCTCGGAAGTTCATTCATACGGAAAGCTGCGAGGGTTGTTTGTCTAACACAGGGTTGCAATTCGGCACAGTTCAAGTTTTGCCGCTTTGTCTTACGACTTGACAATTTCATTATAAAGCAGATTATTTCTAAGTACACTTATTAAGCTTAAAATGGGTAAATCTGGCCTATTTTCAATTTGTAACTGTAACCAATAGATATTATAATAAAATTATGCCAATTTTAAATAGAAAATATGAAAGTTTTGTCCCCATCTGTGACTACTTGATGTTAAGGACTTAGCCATGAGGGTGGAAATTAGCTGATTAATAAACTTCATGATCGCGTTGCATCAAATATGTTTCTACAACTGAGTTTTAACATTGCTTTAAATAAATTTCACGTTTAACACCAATTAAGGTTTACCACTATTCCTGTACACATTTGACTGATTCAGTCACACATTCTTAAAGAAACACGAAAAATGTGCTTTAACTTATCACTGATTCATTCTGTTTTCCACCTCAGAAAATCTGTTTGGAATGAATTTGTAGAAGGAATGAACAATCTTGGTAATTGATATTTTACTGTTTCTAGCAGGTCGTAAACGTCAAACAATAAACAATGACAATAAACTCAACAAAAATGCTAATTAGATTTCAATAATTTGAAAATCGAGCTGCGCCCACTAAATTCGGGAAAACGTTTATTTAAGCAAGAAAAGTAAGACGATGCAACGTGTTAAAAGTGTTAACCCAAGCAAAGAGCTGGTTATTAAAACTCCATGAAGAAGTCGTGACAATCGATGTTGAACTTCCATCCACGGTCTTAGAATTGTTTTGAGAACCATTGACTTCGGCCACGCGAGGAAAACCCAGCGATTTCCAAACGCTCAAACGTTTCCTGCACTATCGTAAAAGAAATTGGAACCAAATTCAAAAATTATTCGGAGATCGTGAGATGCGGTCTGGTGTGACGTAGGTTTTAGAAAAACATTTTCTTTATCGTACCAACGTTTCGATCTTTATTGTGATCATCTTCAGGGCCTGGGATTTATAAACATTGTTTAAATTATACAAATACATGTAGGATGTGGGAAAAACAAATTTATACAATACTAAAAAATTTTAGATTAAAAAAACAAATAAATAAAAAATAAATAAATAAAAAAGCATTAGCATTGTATAATTTTTTTTATTTTTTTAACCTAAAATTTTTTAGTATTGTATAAATTCATTTTTTCCACATCCTACATGTATTTGTTAAACTTAAACAATGTTTATAAATCCCAGACCCTGAAGATGATCTCAATAAAGATCGAAATGGTGGCACGATAAAGAAAATGTTTTTCTAAAACCTACGTCACACCACACTGCATCTCACGATCTCCGAATAATCATTGACTAACGGTCACTAAACACGACACATATTAAAAAGGTTCAGAAGCACCTTCACGAATTATCCTTCTGAAATACTTAAAGATTCAGCATACCGAAACATTGCGTCCGGCCAACGAGCTCTCTATATTGCAAAACAAGGAATGTTTTGCCTAAAAGAACACTTTTTTGGCGGATTTTCAAAGAAGTTGGTTCCGGATGACTAGGACATAAATCTACATATGAGCAGCTAATCTTACAGAAGGATTGACAAACCGGAATCATACTTTCTTATCATCGAACTACTCCAGACCTCGCCCCGTCGGGCTACTTCTTATTACATAATGTCGCTTTCTTTTTATATGTCAAACATTAAAACTAAAATAAAGGAGGTTTGATCAAACTCTTAGAGAACGTAGTACGAAAAGGGATTGAATTATCGTCTCCTTTGGTAAACAGCAAACTATATTTAAAAATCCTAGCATCAGGAATTAATATTTTCATAGCATCTTGTTATTCTAGTAGGAGCAGTAGAACCAGAAATGTTAATCTTAGCAATGAATGTAGTTATTTTTTCTTTTCTTCTTACAGTTAAGATATCCTTTTTTTTTACTGGTGTACTTTCAAATTTATCGAGAGCATCAAATTTAACAGTAGGAAGATTAATATTAAAGTGTGTGATGGATATTGAGCGTTAGTCAATGATTATTCGGAGATCGTGAGATGCGGTGACGTAGGTTTTAGGAAAACATTTTCTCTATCGTGCCAACGTTTCTATCTTCATTGAGATCATCTTCAGGGTTCAAAGTGTTCTTTTCTGCGTAATTGTGTTATTCTTGTTTGTCGTGGGGGGCACACTCAACACAAGAATGGCACAATTACGCAGAAAACAAATACTTTGAGCCCTGAAGATGATCTCAATGAAGATCGAAACGTTGGCACGGTCAATAAAATGTTTTCTAGCACCTACGTCTCACAATCTCCAAATAATCATTAATATTAAATAGTAAATTTTTCAATGTCGAACATTAAATCTCTTCCTATAGGAAAACAATTTGTTTGTGAACAAGATTCATGTTTGTTTACTGAAGTGTCGGTTTGGTGCCAAAAGGTACGGTAGGGCAGCGGTGAAGGGCAAGAATGCCCTTTTTGCTGCCATTTTCTATTTGTAACAATTTTGTAACTCAGCTGTTATTTAATTGCCAATGACTAAACTTTGGATCTAAGTTCAACCCAAATCGACAATTAACTTAATTAAATTTTTTTTTTACTTTTAACAAATAAATTGCTCTTTGTTGTGCTAATGGGTATATACATGTAATCAGTACCTATATGGAGGTGGTACGAGATTCCTGCCCAGTGACAGTCCTTAACAAAAATAAATAGCGAAATATTTTGCATAAATAACAAGAACATGTAACGACAAGCGAATTATAAGAATTTTAACAATTAATAATTTCTTCAATCAGAGATGATGTTCGTTTCCGCTTGACAAAACTTCAAGCAACTTAATCTGATGCAGGTTAAGTTTTATTTTCAAAATGCATTTGACGATTTCATTACGATGGAAAAGTATGAAGTACATTTTTTAAACTCTCATCTATCCCAAATTCTGTATGATCTCTAAGTCATTTAAGTCAAAAGAAGAAGGGTAAAGCTTATATGCTACACAATAGAAATCGTTCATATCAATACAGCGAAGAAAAGTAAAGATTGATAAGACTGATTATAAATATATATTATAATCATCAATCAATCAAAAACATTGAATTCTCACATTTCAATATTAAGTAAAAACTGAAAACATTTAGAATAATAATAAATTTTCAAAACGCAATTTAGCATTGATATTTTTTTTCAAATATATTGCAAAACAAGAGATAATTCCTTATTATAAAAAATTAAAGTGCAATAATAAAAAAAGAAAAGAGTTTACATATGTAGGCCACGAACTACCCCTTGAGGACAGGGGGTGTACTTAATAAAACAAATCGAATCCATACTTGGTCTTTCTCTAAAAAAGTAGTATATGTCCTGATAAAAACAGCCTCTATAATAATTTATATATTTTATTACCCTTAGCTATTTTCATTAAGTTTTTTTAAGCCATTTGAAACATCTAGTTATCTAGTGAGGAAATTGTTTTGATCCAAATTTTTACAAACATGTGTATTTGCTAACGTATTCCAGTCAACCATTTTCCATAGTAACCCTCATCCCTTTTAGTGTTTTCTAATGTATGTCGACCAGTTGCCATGGCGAAGCATCCCTTGTGGCTCCCACTCCTCGATAAACAAATTGATAAGGGTTGAACTAGAATTAACCCCCACCACTTTTTGATATTTGTCAATCACCTTTTCGCAAAATCTTTTGGCCCCGTGGGATGCAACTAAGTAACCACCCTTGGGAAACCAGTTGCCCCGAGTGATTTGAATAACCGGACAAGTATGGGTTGTACTTACGCGGGCCGATGTCTCTTGGACGACGTAGCCGGCGAGGAGGAGAACCACCGCCGCTCCAAGCAGCATAGTTACCCTTTATCGACTGTGGAGGAAAGGACCCAGAAGACAGGGTTGGGCGATAGCCCCTACCCTCAAGGATAGTGGGGACAGGGTGTAGAGGGGGCCCAAGAAAGGACCCGTAACACGACAGTAACTCCGAGGACTTGAGGTGGTTCACATGCGGTCGAACATTCGGCTACGGTTCGTATAGGTTCCAAGTTAGTGCCGAAAGAATTATACAACACGAAGACTCATGACACACATTTTTTGCAGATCCTTCGTAGCCCTCGCCTGCTTGGCGGTGTCGGTCGCCAAAGCGGTAAGTGAAATTTTGTTTATTAGTTTTTTTTGCCATCCGAAACGACATTAGAACAATCTTATATGTATCACTTCCGGTCTGCTTCTTGGTACTTGCTGATAAGGGGTGATAAGTGAGTTCATTCGAGGGATGCTTCCTCCCCACCATTTAATCTCCCACCCCCATGCACCCCCTTTGGGTGTCGGTATAAGAAAGCAAAAAAAGTATTAATAATAAGTTCAGTTTATTTCAGCAGCTTTGAATATGCATATTTACCGATTGAAGGGGTGTTCAGAAATTGCCCTATAATAAAGGCCAACCAACGTCTTTCAGGAAGATCTTAAGACGCCACTAATTCCGATTTAGCTTGTACTTGTTGCGCGCGTACCCCAAACCTCAGATTGTGGTATTTGCTACAACATCATTTCCTTAATCTTCTTTGTTTTAATATCACTTAATTATTAATATAAAAAATTAATTTGATTTATTACATAATTAATCAACTTAATAAACCAAGTTTACCAGGCTGTAGAAGCCTCGAATATCTTTAAAACAAAAACCACCCTGCGCAGAAGAGTAAATTTTAAATATAATGGTCATATAATTTTTTTTTAATTATGTACTTTGGAGAAGCCGTTCGTGATCGCGTACCGCAGAAGTTTAAAGTAAACTTAGTGGTTTTGACTCTGATTTTAATAAACTATTAAGATAATTAGATATTAATAAGATAAATAAATATTTAATTTATAACGTTTTTACTAATATTAAACATTAAATACAAATAAAAACATTTCACGAATTATTTACTCTTTTCATTTTTCGTCATTTGTACAGCTTGAATCAAATATATTAATTTAATCCAACGAAGATTTTTTTAATTGTTGAATTAAAGAAGTATAAGAAGTATGTATAAGAATCTGCAACACCTTCGATGTTTATTTTTTATTTTTTTAAATATTTTATTAGGTACCTAAAAGTGACCTACATCATGACGGATTCATCCATCTTCAATATTTATTTTAAAATTCAATAATATTTCAAAACATTTGAATCTTTTTACTTCGAAAAATCCAGCTCATTAGAACTCATTTTTAAGTAATAATCGTAGTTCTTCATTTTAATAAAAGATTTGAATTTATTCTAATGAAGTTTGTACTTACTGTTCAATCAATCAGAATATTGTCGTTCTTTATTGTTTAATTAATTAATCTTAAATAATTACTTAAAGAATTAATTACATTTATAGATGTCATTCGGGATGGATTTATCCACTTTGAATAATTAAATTCTGAAACAAAATGTTTCAACTTGTATTTTTATGGTTATTTTGATTTCGATTTTATTATGGAGATATGATAAATTTTTGAACGAATACAGAAAACATTTTTTTTTAATTATTACGCGCCTGTTTGTAGAAAAGATCTTTGGAAACGGCGTTCCGTCGTCTTTGGTCTCTTTGAAATAATGTTATTAAATAAAACAATTTATCTAATAATTAATTAAGTTGAATAATCTTTGACATTTTTAAACCACGGTTAAAGTGGTTGGGTTAAAAATAGGTTAAATGGTTAAAATGGGATAAATTTTATTAAATTAAAAACCATTTTCGTTAGGCGATTTCTATGACGAACGAATAATAATTTGTCTAATTGAAATACTACTATTGAATAAAACAATTTATCTAATAATTAATTAAATTGAATAATCTTTGACATTTTAAAACCACAGTTAAAGAATGGAATAAATTTTATTAAATTGATAACCATCTTCATTAGGCGATTTCTACGACGAACGAAGAATAATTTCCAAAGCTACATTCTTTTTCATTACCTTAAATTTCTTTGGATTATATTATTTTTTATTTTTTATTTAACCACTGACATTGAATTATAGTTATTTTTATATTAAAAATGTTTAATTGGAAGAAGAATTTTCATGAAAAGCAACATTTCGTTCTCATCTATGTAGCTGGTGAGCAAAACGCGAATCATTCAAACGATATTATGGTTCTTTTACAATGACACTCTGTTTCTTTCGTCTTTCATCAGCAATACAAATTTTATATTTTCTGATATTTGATATTTAATATTAACTATATTTACATTTATCGTTATTTTAATTACAACGTTCTTATTTAATATAAACTGAACGAGATTCATGTTTTAATTTTAAAAAATTATTTAATTATGACGTTTTGAAAGAAAATTCAACAGAACAACGGAAAATAATATTTCATTAAAATTTAACTAATTTATTATCTACTTTTCCTCTTAATAACGCGTATTACATCCTCTGAACTCGTGGAGAGCCGCACGTCTGCAAGGCATCGAGTAAATAAGCGATCGGATTTCGTCTTATGAAAAAGGATCCCAGTCTTCAACAAGAGCCGTTTGAAGCTGTTCAATGATCGTTGAAGACGAACGATGACAAAATCATCTCTTTATCATGTCCCGTAAATGTTCTATGGGATTTATGTCAGGAGAACGTGCTGACCAATTCATGTAGTGTAGTCTCTACATCCTCAAAGCAATAAAGACAACTCCAGCGCGACAACTCTCTCCAACTTTTATTAATGGAGCGAATGGTAACACAGCTTCCAGAAGAACTTCGCCAATGTATTTTAGTGCAGTCAAAGGTACATTATGGGTGTTAATCAGTTCGGTACGGGCATGGACATTCCACTGCATACCTTAATTGACTGAGTTTGAAAAGGCTGTGTATGGCACTTGGAGCAAAGCTTTCTCCACACAATCCCATTGCCACAACCAAACGGGCACTTATCTGTGAAGAGAACAGACCCCCATTGTTCAAGCGTCCAAGAAAGACGCTGATTTGCGTTTAGTCACCTTCCTACACGATGCCTCTCCAGTAGCAGAGAACTTGATGTGGGATGTCTAGAGATCATGCTTTTTATACGAACCCTTCTGATAACTATTTTAAAGCTCACCCTTATTACGTACCGTTTAGAGTTGACTACCTATCACCGAACCGTTAAATGACGGTTCCGTAGTGAGGTAAGAACAATAAAAGATCGTCTCTAGATGTCATACATCGCGGTCGACTACCTTCTCTTTGATCGGACATCCGATGGCCCGAGCTACTGTAGACCATCGTGGATGGTAGAGCGCGGCACATCATGGCTTGGGCCATGTTACAGAGACGCTACTCCATCGTTGGAAAAAGCATCTGTCCAGGCGAGATCTCGAGTTAAAACCATGCTTTCAAGAAAAAAATAATTTCAATTAATTAATCTTTATGTAAGGTATTGGTTGAAATAAAAAAGTCAGTGTCACGAGCGGGATTCGAACACACGACCTTCGGCTAAATAGGCCGCTGCTCTACCACTTGAGCTATCCGTTACTTGAAGTCGGGTTCAAATTGGTTTCGAATCCCGCTCGTGACACTGACTTTTTTATCTTAACCGATACTTTACATAAAAATTAATTAATTGAAAGAAGTTATTTGGTCAATCACTCAATTGGGCCACAAACTCTAATGGATTTAATAAAAAAAAATTAATAATTATTTTTTTCGCAAACTTGTTTCATCAAAGAAAACCATTTAAAAACAACAAATTAAACTAAAAACCAATTAACTCACTCGATAAGTTAGCTTTGGAAAGGATGAAATTTAACTTATTCTCTTATTTTTTCTAAAGAGTGTAAAATGATTAGGAACAAGCTATAAAGTTAAACAAGTTTTAATGTTGTGTTTACATTTTAAGTCAACCCTCGGGGTGACGGTGTTTTTGAAAAAAAAAAAAAAAAAAAAAAACATTTGCAAGTACGTCGGGTTCGAATGCAGGGATACTTTTTTTGGATGGTCGGGTGGTATATTTCGTCCACTCTAATAAGCTAAATACATAAATTCATTATGGTTGACGCCCTAATTTTTAATACTGTATGCAGATGTTTGTATTTGTTAACTGTGCATATCATTAGAAATAGTTTCAAAGTCCTGATAAAAGGAATATTTTCGTCGTTAGCTCGACGAAGAAACTGAGTGTGCTCTTTCAATTTCGCTTTATCCCTAATTTTTTGTATTCAGTTATGGTATTATAAGATTATAATATCAATCATATCTGGATAATTTGTAAAGGCTGTAAATATTACATCAATTCTGTACAGATCTCAGTATTTTACATGTTTATAGCTTGGACATCTCAAATCATCCTGGTTTACTTTCAGCTTTTCGCCATCTTCAGTGGCTGATATTACTGGTCATGTCCGAGAAAATAACACACAGACCAACCACTGGAGTTGGCGAAATTACGAAACTCTCCCAACGTACGAAATCAGCAAGGGTATGCAAACCAGGTTGGTGAGAAAGAATAAAAATAAAATAGTTCGGCCTGTAAGGCGGCATTCGCGTTTTTCCACCGTTTACCGAAAAATTCTTACTGTAACCAACTTCAAACAGTCTTTTAACATTAATTAGAAATAAAAATTAGAAAGAAAAAACAGCAGAGATGTAAAATGCTTTCAATGATTTTCTAGTCAAAGATGAGGGAAATTAAATTTTACTAATAAATTAATCTTTTTATGTAAGGTACTGGTTGAAATGAAAAAGTTAGTGTCATGACCAGGATTCGAACCCACAAGCCGCAGGTCGTGGGTTCGAATCCCGCTCGTGACACTAACTTGTTCATTTCAACTAATACCTTAAATAAAAGATTAATTAATTTAAAGAAGTTATATGGTCAATCGGACCACGGAATATGATGTACTAATAAATTATATATAAATATAAATACTAATAAAATTCACTATAAACATAAAAGTGAAGAAGTAATGTTGAAACAAATAATATTTCCCCGCAGTTTTAAAATATAGGAAAATATTTGGAACTGTTTTTTTTTTAACTTCGATGGTTTTAAATATCATCCTTAAAAAACTAATTTTCATACACATTAAATTATGTAAATAGGTAAATAAAGTATAACTTAGGAAACGAAAAAAAAACTATAAAACGTACAGTAATTAGTAACTAGAGTAAACAAACAGTAATTAATTTTTGCCTTTAAAAAATCAGGATAAGATCAGGATCTTAAAAGAGAACACTCAATTCTTCATCAAGCTTTCGAGAAATATATCCCCCCACACAAAGGTTTTGAAATTACATTAATAATATAACTATACACTTATGGATATCTACTTACAGTTCGAAACTTATTATTAAATTTCTGTTCAAGAAAGTTCAAATTCTACTGTTTGATTTTGTGCTTTTTCTTTCAAATTCTTGACTTTTTCACTGCTAGTTACAAACCATAAATTTCTGTCAACTGTTTGGAAATCAAGAGGCAGTTTCTTTCTCAAATGTGAACAATTGTTTAAATCAATGTATTTTTAATGTAATTAATTCTGTTTCAGCAAAATGAGTATCTAGAAACACAAGATCCAGAATACCATAAAAAAGAAGATACTACTTATTCCGGCAGACATGATACCAATTATTACAACAGACAAAATGCAAACCACAATGATGAACAAGATTCTAACTATTATAAAAGACAAGGTCATAACTTCAATGAAAGAACAAAGTCTTATTACGGAAGAAAAGACACTTACCATGGTGGAGAAGATTCTAGCTACCTAGAAAGAAAAGATCCAACCTACCGCAATGGAGAAGGTCGTGTCTATGAAGGAAGACAGGATCACAGATACAATAGTGGGGATGATTATAATTATGAAGGAAAACAAGATCCCGAATACAAAAATGGAGAAGATCATAATTTTGGAGGAAGTCAAGATCCCTATTACAATCGGGGAGAAGATACAAATTATGAAAGAAGACAAGATCCTAGTTACCATGGCGGAGAAAATTATACAGGAAGCGATCCTAGTTACCATGGTGGGGCTGATTCTAATCATGAAGGTAGACAAGATCCTAATTACAACGGTGAAGAAGATTATAATTATGGAGAAAGACAAGATTCTAGTTATCACGGTAGAAGCGATTCAGATTATGCAGGAAGACAAGATCCTAATTCCCATGGTAGAGGGGAATCAGATTATGCAGGAAGAAGAGATCACAATTTACATGGTCGAGTAGATACAGATTATGCAGGACGACAAGATCCTAATACACAAGGTGGAGGGGATGCAGACTATGCAGGAAGAAGAGATCACAATTTACATGGTCGAGTAGATACAGATTATGCAGGAAGACAAGATCCTAATACGCATGGTGGAGGGGATGCAGACTATGCAGGAAGAAGGGATCACAATTTACATGGTAGAGTAGATACAGATTATGCAGGAAGACAAGATCCTAATACGCATGGTGGAGGGGATTCAGACTATGCAGGAAGAAGAGATCACAATTTACATGGTCGAGTAGATGCAGATTATGCAGGAAGACAAGATCCCAATTTGCATGGTAGAGTTGATACGGATTATGCTGGAAGGCAAGATGGAGATGGGCAAGATCAAGTTTCTCATGGAAGGCCGGATTCTAGATTTGATTCAAGACAAGATCCTGCATACAGCCAAAATGAAGTACCAGAAGACAATAGTACCCCAGGGGTTAGTAGCAGAAAAGCATATGTACACAAAAATTTTGCTGTTTATCAACATCCTTCATACCCTGGTGATGAAACAGGATGTGCTACAAAATGTTTTGCAGAAAAAGGCCAACAGGTTAGTGGCTGTAACATTTTATTTAACGATTATATTTCAATCTCTAACAAAATAAAACAACTGTACATCAAATGTTCCCGACTCATGTATTATTTTCTTATTTTAACAAAACTATTTATTTTAGGGTCCTCCAGGGTATCCTGGGCCACCAGGTCCCCCTGGACACAAAGGATTCCCAGGAGTAGAAGGTGTGCCTGGCTCTGATGGGGAAAAAGGTGAACCAGGACAAAGAGGGTACAGAGGACAGAAAGGAGATGAGGTTTTTATTATTTGTTAGGTTTTGCAAATATTTTGATTTATTCAGTTATTAATTAAAATATTTTTATCAGGGAAAAATGGGCTCGCCAGGTTTTCCAGGGAAAAATGGCATACCTGGGCTACCTGGTGAAGTAGGAGAACCTGGTATTCCTGGAAAAGACGGATGCAATGGGACAGATGTAATTTTGATTTAATTTTTTACATTTCTTGTTTTTATATATTCAACTTATAAAACATAATTTTTTAATAATTTTGGAAAACATAATTTTAACATTTGAAAGTGTAAATTAAATTATTTCTGGTAATTTTACTGTAATGTTTACTTTCATTTTAAAAAAGCAATATGCTAGTAGTTCTCGGAGTAAGAAATAAACGTTAGAGTTTTTCTAATAATAATTTTTAGGGTGACCGTGGGGACCATGGACCACAAGGTCCAATGGGACCAAGAGGATATGAAGGGCCAAAAGGAGAAAAGGGTATTAAAGGAGAGCCTGCTTCTTTAGGAAGATACCTCAAAGGTGAAAAAGGAGAACCTGGGTATACAGGAAGTGATGGCTTGCGAGGTCCTCATGGAAATGATGGTCCATCAGGTCCAAGGGGTCCAAAAGGAGACCGAGGAGCATTGGTATGTAGATGTTTTCAAAGATAGTATGATATATCCTAATACAGAAATATCCTGTATAATTATACTAATTTTTATTAATTTTTGATGTAGTTATCATATAACTTTATATTAATTTTATAAAGGGGGATAAAGGAAATCAAGGTCCAAGGGGACACCCAGGTCCATCAGGCATTGGGAAAGAAGGAGATAAAGGTGAGCCAGGGCCGCCAGGGCCAAGAGGCCCTCCGGGTCCTCCAGCCACTTCACCGCAAATAGGGGGAAATGTGACAACAGTTGGTCCAAAAGGAGACAGGGGTGAAAAGGGTGAAAGGGTATGTAATAATATTCATACAAAATTGGCACATTATAAAATACATAACCCTCATATATATTTCACATACATTAATTTATTTATTGTATTATTATAAGCAATTTGAAATTAAAGTAACAAATTTATCAAGTTATGTTTTTTTTCAACAAACTAACAATGATTTCTAATGACAGACCAATTCACATTGATTTATTTCATGAATTAATTTTTGCAGTTAATTTTTGATTACTTTTCTTAATTTAACAATTTCCATAAAGAAAGAACTATTGATCATTTTTCTGTGGGCGTATTAGGGTCGTAAAGGATTCACTGGTGACCGAGGAGATCCTGGGCCTGCAGGACAACCAGGTGCACAAGGTCCACCAGGAATGAAAGGAGAAAAAGGTCTGCCTGGGCCTCATGGCATGAGAGTAGGTGGACTAACACTTAGGAGTAAGGTGGCAAATTAACTTTATCTATAATGCATATCCATTGAATGTAAAAGGGAAGAGATGGAAGTATGGGCCCACAAGGTCTTATGGGCCCGAAGGGAGATAGGGGTTATGATGGTCTGAAAGGATTACCTGGAAAACCAGGTGACAAAGGAGAGCAAGGACAAGATGGAAGACCAGGAGAACGGGGTTTGCCTGGCCCAGCAGGTTTACCAGGGGTATATGACATTTTACTTAAATAGTATAAATAATACTGTTATCATTGTGATTATTTATGCTACAGGGAGGGAAAGGAACACCAGGGCCTCCAGGGTTGAGAGGTCCAAGAGGATACACAGGACCAGCGGGACTTCCAGGTGATAAAGGTTTAGACGGACCACCGGGAGATAGAGGACCTGAAGGACCAGAAGGTAACATGGGCATGCCAGGTAATCCTGGTGATAAAGGAGAACCTGGAGATGTAGGTCAAAAAGGAGATACGGGTGAACCAGGTAAAAAATGCTTAAATTTTACCCTCTTGCTATTTATAGAAAATAAAATTAATAATTAAAATAAAATAATTAAATAAAATTAATACTGATAAAACTTGATTTGATAATTTAAGGCCCACCTGGATATACTGGTCCAAAAGGTTTTACTGGACCACAAGGATTGACAGGGCCTCCTGGAAGACCTGGAGAAAAAGGACTTTCACTTGTTGTAAGTGATTTGTTGAAAGATAATTTGTTTTGCAAATTTACAATTAATCAAATTTTTTATTACATGTACTTTAGAATTGTTTAAATTTCTTTATTAAATTATTGAATTATAGGGACCTCCTGGAAATGATGGAACTCCTGGAAGACATGGTGAAAAGGGTTCTAAAGGGGAAAAAGGATATCCAGGTCCAAGAGGTGCTCCTGGAGATTCAGAAAAAGGAATTCCTGGTCCTCCTGGAGTGAAAGGAGAGGCAGGTTTGAGAGGCCACAAAGGAGAACCAGGATTGCCTGGTAGACAAGGTTAATACAAAAATTGTAAAATGTGATTGGTTGTCTCTTGTAATCCTTGTCTGTCTACTCATACTAGTTTTGTCTGTTTGACGGATTTCACCACTTTACAATCATGAATATTGGCGATTAAATTGTATGTTGGGTAAATGAAGTAATGGTTGATATTTAATTAAATAATTATATTAATTAATAAATTACTCCCGTCAAACAATGTTTAAGCTTTGTCTCTCATATTTTGACTAGTCATAATAATAAGCAAAACAATGAATATTTAATTAGCAGGAGATCATTGATTACTCTTGCATTAATTATTTTAATCACAAAGTTTTATTTCATTCATCAAACCATGCAATATGCTCTATTTTATTAAATTATAATTTATTCAGTTTCACATAAATAATTGATTGATGTGGGCAAAATGAAACTAGGTATGACAAAACCACCAATGGAGATAATTAAACTTTATATGATACAAGTCCATATCAATTGAGGTTTTTACATTTATATTACTTTGTATATAAATAGGATATCCTGGAGAAAAGGGAGACAAAGGAGGAGAATGTTCTAGTTGTTTTCCTGGAGCCAGAGGAGACAAAGGAGAACCGGGTATTCCAGGCACTTCAGGTTTACCAGGGAAAAAAGGAGCTCCAGGTCCACAAGGAGAACAAGGTCAGCAAGGGCCATTCGGAAATTATGGTGATCCAGGACCACAAGGACCTTCTGTGAGTCTTTTATTTCACTGAATAAACATTCAATAGAAATCCATTATGTTTAGTGGTCTGATTGACCGAATTATTTCTTTCAATTAATTATTCTTTTTATGTAAGGTCTTGATTGAAATGAAAGCTGAAGGTTGTGGGTTTGAATCTCACTCGTGACACTACCTTTTTTATTTCAACCAAGACCTTACATAAAAAGAATAATTAATTTAATAGTAATGTTTCAATTAAACATTGCATTTAATTATTTTAAAAAATTTAAGGGTGATCCTGGACCAAAAGGAGAGAAAGGTGAACCTGGATTGAAGGGGGATTCTTTTGTAATCGGTGACGATTGGAAAATAACATTAAAGGGCGACAGAGGACCAAGAGGTGTTCCAGGTGATAAAGGTGATCAAGGTCCACCGGGTCCTCCTGGACGTCAAGGCTATCCAGGCAGTAAAGGGTTTACTGGCATAAAGGGAAACAAGGTCATTACTATACAAAACATTTAGTATTATACAATACGGCGTATTTAACTGTGATTTTTTTTTTTTTTTTTTTTTGCTTGAAGGGAGAACGAGGCTTCAATGGCCAACCTGGAGATAGAGGTGAAGATGGAGCCAAAGGTGATAAAGGACTACCCGGGTTTAGCATGAAAGGTGAAAAAGGATCTTTGGGACTGCCTGGAGATTTTGGATCACCTGGAGATCGAGGGTATCCTGGACAGAAAGGAGAACCAGGTGATTTTTAAAAGTTATTCTCAGGTGGGTTAAGATATTCTTTTGTACATTAAATTTAACGTTAATGTACACTTATTTGATTTTATATCAATATTATATTTCTCTCTTCTCGTAAGGTTTTGCTTTCAATTATTGACTTATGAAATAAATATGTAATGAATCTTCAGCAACTTATAAATGTCAAATTTAGTAATATTCAACCAAATAAAGGTATATAACTGCACTAATTTACAAAAAAAAATTTAAATTTTGGTAATGGGATTTTTGTCTACTAATCTTACAACCTTACATAAAAACACAATTTTTTTTCTTTCTTCAATTTCTACTGCATCATTCGACACTAAAAGAAATCCTCAATTTTCTTTTGACCATTTTAGATTGTAATAACGCTAATAAATATTTTCTAACAGGCAAATGCCCAGTGCCATCTGAGTTTATGTTATCTGGCGAAAAAGGTAATACAGGTCCGGTTGGTCCCGATGGCCCAAAAGGTGATAAAGGAGACAAAGGTGAAGAGGGACTACCTGGAAGACAAGTGAGTGATCCTACGGTTTTACATCTCATTATATGCTCACTAACAGGCCATAAATGAAAATAATTTGAATCAATAAATATTTGAATAATTTCAATCGATTCACAATTAATATAAAATTTGTAGGGCAATCCAGGGCCTAAAGGAGATCATGGATCACCTGGCCCTCAAGGTCCACGAGGTCCAGTAGGGCCAATAGGGGACAAAGGTGAACCTGGAAAAATGGGTTTCCCTGGAGATGTTGGAAGTACAGGACCTCCAGGACTCGAAGGCTCAGTAGGAACAAAAGGTGGATTAATTTTTTTTTTCATTACATTATATTAAACCAAACTTTGATCTGTAGGAGACAAAGGAGAACCAGGAGTGGCAACTGTAGGGCCACCAGGTCAACAAGGTTTCAGAGGAGAGGCAGGAGAAAAAGGCCTTCCTGGTCCTCCAGGAAAAACTGGTCCTAAAGGAGAATCAGGTACAATCTTTATTTATTTTTTATTATTATTTATTTATTTATTTTTATTATTTTTTTAGGAAGACACGGAGTCAATGGTCAGAAAGGTGAAATTGGAGTACCAGGGCAACCTGGTTTACAAGGTCTACCAGGTCCAAAAGGAGATCCTGGTCCACATGGATTACCAGGAATCAAAGGGGAACCTGGACCTCCTGGATTAAATGGGGAAAAAGGTATGCGACATGTACAACATTATTAACATCCTATAAGAGTTTAACAATAACGATCATTTCAGGACAACAAGGGCCTCCAGGCTATATGGGCGCCAAAGGTGATATAGGTTTACCAGGTCCTAAAGGATTTAAAGGATATCCAGGTCCAAAAGGTGACAAAGGATTTGTTGGTCAACAAGGCCCAGCAGGTAATTTTGTTATTTGATAAAAATAAGGCAGTTTTTACTTAAGCAATCAAATCACTAAGTTTCTCCAGTCTCAAGAAAAAAGCAAAAACTTTTTTCGCATTTTAAAACTACTTCTTAAAATAGTAGAATTTTAAATTAATAATAAACAATAAACTGGCATGTGTCACACACATACCCTCCTGTATGACAGGAATTACATCCTTTCTTACTTTAATTTTGATTATATAAAATTTCACCCTGACATAATTTCTAACATTTCAGATCTTTCACTTCAAACCTTTATTTATGTATGTACGGTGTAAACAATTTAAATTAAAAATTTGGAGTTCGTTGCTATATTTTAAAAAACTGTGTGAAGAGACAATTACAAACAGTAACCTAATCTTCAAAAAAATCTCATTAGTTGCTTAAATTTAAAGCATTAAGATGTAAAACGATTAACTATTCTGATCTTTGTGTTCCTTGTCAAGTCCTTTACTTGAAATAATGTTATTAGGTTATTACGTTATGTCTATTGCTTAGGCTTGCCGGGAGAAAATGGGAAAGCTGGGTTCCCTGGGCGCAAGGGAGAAAAGGGAGAAGTAGGTATGCGAGGCTTCCAAGGTGCACGTGGACCAAAAGGCCTGCCTGGGGATTTGGGCCCACTTGGTCCTCCAGGACCAAAAGGAGACTTGGGACTCAGAGGTTTTCGAGGAGAACCTGGACCACAAGGTCTTAAAGGAGTACAGGGACCTCCAGGATTGCCTGTATGTGCAATGTTCAATAAAACAATATTTAACTAGCTACAGCAAGTCGCTTATAATGCATTGTAATTGTAAACACCTGTAGGGAGAGAAAGGATCACAAGGACCAGTTTCTGCTAAAGGGGAACGAGGTTTTCCTGGACAGTTAGGTGAAAAAGGAGACAAAGGAGAACCTGGCTTAAATGGAACACCCGGAGTAAAAGGAGAGCCTGGTCTTCCTGGCATTGGCAAACTCGGCCCAATAGGGGCTAAAGGAGAGCCTGGAAGGCACGGTATACCTGGAGGCCGAGGTGACAAAGGTGACAAAGGAGAGCCTGGCCCTCATGGATATGATGGAGCACCAGGATTGAAAGTATTGACTTTGTTTTCATTCTTAATTTAATATAAATTCAAACCTAAATATTTGTAAGTGAAAAGAATATTACTTTCAATCTAAAGTTAACTTAGAGGCTTCAGTTCTTGTTCATCACTTCAGTAAATTAGTTCATTTAAAATAGGTTGGAAAAATTCTCTCATTTTATATCCAAGTTTTTCAGTGATTATATCCCATAAATAAAATATCATACATGTATTATTTTGTTTGCAATTGATAAAAATTGATTGCTTTCATGATAAATTAAAGCTGGGATAACAATTCTAAAACATTCTTATGTTTAAGGGTGACCGTGGAATACAAGGACCACCAGGGCCTCCAGGCATGCCTGGTTTGCCAGGTGAACCAGGAATGAAGGGTCCAGTTGGACCAGGAGGTTTTAAAGGTGACAAAGGTTTTATGGGACCTAAAGGACAGAGTGGACACCATGGATCCAAAGGAGAAAGAGGGCCTAAAGGTAATAGAAACAAATAAAATAAAAACAAATAATCTAACAATTTTACATTAACAGGAAATCAGGGTTACCTCGGACCTAAAGGAAGTCCCGGTGAAAAGGGTCTTCCAGGGCCTCCAGGTCCCATGGTAGAATTAAAAGGAGATAAAGGTGATCCAGGCAGTCCAGGTTTCCCAGGTCCGAAAGGAGATAAAGGTGACGACGGCCTCCCCGGAAAAGTTGGGCCAATGGGTCCACAAGGAAGAATTGGCAACCCGGGATTACCAGGAGCACAAGGATTTCCAGGAGAAAGAGGATTAAAGGGTAAATTATTATTTATTATTTAGGGGAATATCCAGTCATCTAAATTAAAAACTAAAAATAATCAAACAATTTTGTATTCAAAGTTGCATTATTGAATGATATTATAATTGTTTTGTATCTAATGTGAATTTTTCCTTCTTAAAAAAATATTCATTCAAACAGTAATTACAAGGGTAAATCATACTATCTTGTTATTAAATTTTTTATGTTATTTATTTAATTTTTGGGTCATATTTCCAATTGCAATCAGATAAAACCATTTTACTTTTATAATATGTATAATAAGTTATAGGTAAAGGTCATTAAGGTTAAATTAATATTATTGTAAGTGTTACTTTTCAAAATTCTATATATATTTCCAGGTTTATATTGATTATCTTTAATTATAAATGTCTATCTTTCGCCAAACTGGTTTAATTATTCCAGTGCAAAATATGATAAAGTAAACATTATTTCTTTATCTTTCAAATTAACAAATCATATATCATATAACAGTGTTAACAATACAGTATTTATGTAATTCAAACAAATTACAAAATATCACCATGAGCATTTTTCAATAGGTGATCGTGGATTAACCGGACCACCAGGTTTGTCCAACGGTGTGGTAAAGGGTGAGAAAGGTCTTCCAGGTACTCCAGGAAGACCTGGGAGACAAGGTGACCAAGGATTCCCTGGAGAAAAGGGTAAAACAAATTTGAAACAATCATTAGAATTTGTGTACTAATGGCTAATCTCACCCATTAGGAGATAAAGGGTTAAAAGGACTGAGAGGACTTAAAGGTGAACCTGGGCCCAATGGGTACCCAGGCCCAAAAGGAGATAAAGGTGATAAAGGAGACGCTGGAATGAAAGGCCATGAAGGACCTCCTGGAAGACCTGGGGCCCATGGAAGGCCTGGTGAGAAAGGAGAACTGGGAGAAAAAGGAGACAAAGGAAAAGATGCTATATCCTTTGGCCCTGGACCTAAAGGAGATAAAGGTTTTAAAGGTAAACTTCAGAACTGAATTAAATTTTAATCAATATAATACTAATTTTAACTGGATATGTTTGTTAAGGTTATAATAAATATATACTTCATTACATGTAACTTTCAGGTAACCAAGGACCACCTGGACCATTTGGAGTTAAGGGAGATAAAGGTAACGCTGGGTTGAAAGGAGAACGAGGATTCCCAGGTAGTGCAGGTATACCAGGAGATAGGGGCTACCCAGGTATACCCGGATTAAATGGTGAGAATGGTCCACCTGGACAAAAAGGTGAACCTGGAATTGTCACTAGTGGTCGACCCGGTGAGAAAGGAGATAAAGGTAAATATTAGTTTCTAGGTTGTTTCTCCTCCAAATGCAGATTTGAACTAATAAATCAGATCTTCACGCTTAAAAATGTGTTACTTTACAGGAGAACCTGGCCTCAATGGATTAAATGGTACCCTGGGTTTTAAGGGAGACCGAGGTGCAAAAGGAGATAAAGGGTTAAGAGGTGAAAAGGGTGAGATGGGATTAACAGGTGACCACGGTTATGTTGGTCTTAAAGGAGATATTGGGCCCACTGGTTTTAAGGGAGATACAGTAAGTTCCTTGCACCTTATTAAAAATATATGTAAATAATGTACAACTTCTTTTTGTTAGGGACCTATGGGACCACCTGGACTCCCAGGACCTGCCGGACTTCCTTGTGAACATGATGTCGAATACACCGGACAAGTGTTGGTTAAGCACAGTCAAAGAGATGAAGTGCCACAATGTCCTAAAGGCCTTACTGCAATGTGGGATGGGTACAGTCTTTTGTACTTAGATGGAAATGAAAGAGGACATTCACAAGATCTTGGTAATTTAATTTTAATTGAAATACTCACTATTTCACAAATCCCTTCAAAATCATCATAACCCATTATTGAAAGAATGTCCTCATTTAGATGTCCTTCTTTCAAGAGATCCCTGCTTACTCCACTATCCAATAGCTAATTTAAATGTTGTACGGTTGTAAATATGTATCAATGTTATACATTGTATAATATTCATATTTCCATTATACATATTTTACTGTACAAATAAAAAATTAAAATAAATAAACAATTAGATTGAAATAATTAAATAAAAAGTAATTGTTCTAATTTTAATGTATGATCAAAATTCTTTCCTTTCCAAACTGGGAAGATCTATTGATCAATAAATAAATATAAAAGGCTAGTCTAAAGTTGTACAGGTTAAAACATACTTATACTGCTATCATTTTGTTTTGTTTTAAACTATTTCTACAAATAGATAAATAATTACTATTTATAAAATAAGTAAGAATTGAACTTAATTCAATTAATTAAGGTTTTAAGTTGAGATAATAAAAGTCAGTGTCACGAGCAGGATTCAAACCCATCACCTTCGGCTTGATACACCGCTACTCTACCACTTGAGCTATCGTGACTTCGATCCCCTCGGACACTAACTTCCCTTCTCAACCCCTCCTTTTGAATTTTCCATCCTTTCTGCCATTTTTTGGCATTTGCCCACCTTAATTAATTGAATGATATTGATTGGTCAAGCGGACCACGAAAAATAGTGAATTGAGCATAATGCATATTTTTTCAGGAACTGCTGGATCTTGCGTAAGAAAATTCTCAGTAATGCCGTTCTTGTTCTGTGACACAAAGAATACTTGCAACTATGCAAATAGAAATGGCAAATCTTACTGGCTAACTACAAATGAGCCGTTACCAATGATGTCTGTGGAAGATCGAGCCATTTCAAAATACATATCACGGCAAGCTTATTAACTTTTACATATATATTTTTTTATTGTTTTGATTGTTGTTGTTATAAAAAAAGTTTTGTTTTACAGATGTGTTGTTTGTGAAACACCATCAAGTGTTATGGCATTCCATAGCCAGTCAGCCAGTGTGCCACCTTGTCCATATGGTTGGAGTTCCCTGTGGATAGGATACAGTTTTGCAATGGTATGTCAAGATTTCGCATATTTTTTATCAAAACAATTAAAACAACAAATTTTTTATTCGATTTGAATTTTCAGCATACTGGAGCCGGATCAGAAGGAGGTGGACAAGAACTTGCTAGTCCAGGATCATGCCTGGAAGAATTCAGAACCACACCATTCATTGAATGCAATGGTGGAAAAGGAACATGTTTCATATTCAATAATTTGCTCAGTTTCTGGTTAGCATCAGTACCAGAAAATGAACAATTTAAATCTCCTACCCGAGACACTCTTAAAGCAGGAGACTACAAAGGAAAGATCAGCAGATGCCAAGTGTGCATTAAAAACTACTAGTCTTTAAAGTAAGTAAAGTAACATAAATCATTTTCATTAATTATTGTCTCTATTATTCAGATTAGAATTTCTTTTATGGTATTTAATTCATTCATATGCTTAATGTTTTTGGTTTGGGAAATCCAAAGAGTTTTATAATTATCAAACACACTTTTCATGTTTGCATAGTGAAAACATTTATTTTTTACATTTTGCGTTATTAAAATTTGGTTCTTCATTATTCATTATTCCTATAAACAGTGTGGCTTTTCTTGACGCACCATTAGAAAAACAAATGCTTAAATGGACTCTGGTGCAATTTTTTAAATTTTCTAATTAAAATTAATTTCTTGGTAAGAACGGGAAAACAGTTCAAAATGTATTTCACTCAGAAGAAATTTGTGGGGGTAAAGCAATATTGTTCTGTTACTTGATCGTTGCCAATCAGTTTAGTCTGCCTTTCCTCACTGGGTTGGCCTGCAACACACAGTCTTCTTCAGAGTATGTGTGCGACCAAAATATTAATAACTACCACTAACTGTGTGTGTGTGTGTGTGCATTGCCACAGAAGTCCCAATACTTTGATAAACAACTATGGGCATGGGTAGATAGAAGTGATTTGATAGTCCATTTAAGCAGGTGATAAAAATTTAGACACAAGAACTAAAAAATTTTCCTACTTCTAGGGTAAGATGTAAATAAAATAACTTCAAAACTCAATTTATTAAGGAGCAAGGGAATTTTAAGCTTAACTTTCTTTTAGCAAAATAATAACACATTTGGTTCAAGAGATGGTAACATCAAACACAAAAATTCATTAGTCGGCCCAATTTAATGCATATTTAATTAATCCAATTTTTTTGTTTTAGATTGAACTCTGTCAACACAAAGTTAAGAATTCTTAAGAGTTCCAGTGTCATATTAAATTCTGGGTCCTTTAAAGCCTAAACCGAAACATCAGATTTGTTTCGGACTATCAATAGCCATAATTTTCAATATCTAACCTGTACGTGTAAAAATCACTTATTTCACTGCCATTGTACAGTTTAAATTAGAACAATTATAATGAATATGATGTATTAAGTTGTGTTCATGTAAGAAATAACTTAGTTTATGTGATTCGAGTGTATGTTTTTAAAAGAAAGCTTTATTTTATTTTAATTTTTTCTTTTTTTTCTTTTTTTTTGTTAACGTTTAACGTAAAAAGATAGTCACTTGTACTTTATCTATTGTAAATAAATAGAAAAATATTTTACATCGTTATAATTAAGTTCTTCATTTTCATTTTATTTAATTTTTATTAAGTGTATAACAAAATATACACACATACTCGGTTTCTTGTGCCATAATGAAGTTGTATAAACCTAATTTTAAGCATCTCCAAATGCACTTAAATATCAGTTGTTTAAATTTTGTACAGAAGTTTTTTTTTAAATAAAATAAATAAATAAAAATGGAATAAAAAGAAAACTGCCAATTTAACTGCCAAAACAAACGTATAAAATAATATATTGTTTTTTGTTTAACTCATAAAAATGTTATCAATAAAAAACTACACTTATTTAATATTTGCTCAAGATTTTTTTAAATATATAATCCATTTTTAATACTTGCTTTAGTGGCTTATGAGTAGGCAATTTTACAACTGTTAAGTTAAATACAAAGGATGTTGTCAAAACCAAACTGGATTTGAAATCTTTGATTTGATGTAATTGATTTTATATTGAAACATTGCCCTACATTAAAGGCACGCTCTCACAATGCAACTTGAATCAGTTTTTGTTTTCACTGTTCCATTGAAGCTGATCAACTTTTGATTTGCAAACCACTGAAAGTTCTTTCTTAAACATGGCTCTGTCTTGTGCTCTTCAAATCAGCAATAATACGTCCAGCCATTTCCATTTTTTTTCTGTAGAAGCAACACATGTTCTGACACATCTTTATTTTTCACTCGTCAAGACATGTCATCTTTAAGCCATGGGGTTCTTAAAACACAAATGTCGGCAACCTGGTATATTCTAAGGCATGAGGTAAATGGCTTAATTTTGAAATTGTGAATCCAGTAATTTTCATTTTTTTGACAACAGAACTAATGTATTTTTTCTTTAGCCTTTTTTTTCAAATAATATATAAGTTGATGATTACAAAGGCAATAATGTTTGTGTTAAAATTCTAAAAGTTTTAACAAATGGATTCTGTACAGTGATCATAAATGATGGAAACTTTTGTTCCAAAGGTGCCAAAGACATAGTGTTGCCTGGTAATCCTAGGCAAAAGGCAAACTTCTTAATTTTGCAAAAGTAAATTTGATTTATTTGTTAAGCATTTGCTCTCTAACCTGTATTTTTTATATATGTCAATGATTCCAAAGGCAGTAACACTTACATTAAAAATTTAAAAGTTTTAGCAAATGGATTAAATTAGTTATCATAAATGGAGACAATTTTTATACCAGACTTTACAAAGTGCTACATTATTTGGTAATTCGAGGCAAAAGGCAACCATCATAATTCCAATAATAAATCTGGCAATTCCATTATCTTTTTTGTGTTTTTAACTATTTTATGAAGAACAAGGAAAACAATACATGTTTCCACTTGAAGAACAAAGGTTTAACCCTATAGATCAACAGAAAATTTACTTCATCATTATCAAAAGCCAGGCTATCATCATAACAAGATGTTGCAATTCCGAAATGAATCTGACAGACCAAGCCACGAGGATAGGCAGACCAAGGTAATCTATTCAGAAAGGATCAAATTCACGAGGTTCACCAACATGCAAACCACAGGAGGAGATCTCATGATTTATCTATAAAAAAATTGTTCAAAAAAGTAAAATAATTCTTGTCGTACAGGAGGGCTCTAATTCAATTTAAAAGGATCAAACATTTTACAATACATTTTTCATCCCATTATCGATTAAAAAGTGGGCTATGCAGGGATTCGAACCCAGAACTGCTAGCATGGCAACTATGAATCAGAGTTCCTAACCCAGGCATGACCAGTATGTATTTCCCCCCTGGGATTTTTCCTGGATTTTCCAAAGTATTTTCACTGCCCAACGAAATATTAATATCAAGGATGATAGGTTAATCCTCTAACAAATAGTTTCCTTGTTGATCACCAACCTAATAATGTGTATCAAGAATTCTGATTGGTTCTCTGTAGAGCAAAAAAGCTTATAAGGCATTACCTGGGCAATCAATTCTCTGCTCAAAATCTGTCATTGTCCAAGGATATTTTTGTTAAATGTTTGAACCTTTTCTTTTAAAATACTTAGATATGGTCTGTAACATTGGAAAATGATCAAATTTGCATTCAGCCAGATTTGTAGAAAAAAAAAGTCCAAGCTTCATTTTAAAAGCTCTTAATTTCTGTATTAAATCATAAGCAATTAAAATTTTCCTTTGTAAACGTGTGTTAAATTCGTTCAAATGTGCGAGAATATCCAAAGAAATGCTAATTCACAAATCCAATTTGGATCTAATAATTCAAGAAAATCCTCATTTTCTTTAAGCGTTAAAAATATTTTTATTTCCTCTTGAAGGTCCCATAAACGTCTTAAAATCTTTCCCAGACTTAACCAACAGATTTAATTGTGATATAGTAAATCTAAATGACTGGTATTTAGTTCTTGAAGGAGATTGCCTGTGATTTAATCCTTTTGATCATAGGAAATTGACTAATTTGTAAAATATTTTTGCATAGTGCACATTGATGAATAACGCAGTGTATGGGTATAACTTTATGATATGGATCGTTTTAAAGTTAAGTTATAAGTTGTAATTCTTTATAACAGAATCTTTTTTTTTTCTTTTTTTTTAATATAAAGTATCAAGAATTCAATTAATTACTAGATGTTAAATGCTAATATTGAAAAATTGTTTACAGGCCACATAAATTCATTGCATTATGTTGGCCCCCAGTAGTTGTTCAAATGATATTTCAAATATCACAGTACTAAACATCATTCGTTAATTCACAATCCTGATTTGTTAATACATACAACCAATAAATAGTTAATAGAAATTAGTAGCTGATTAATTTTTTAAACAATAAGACAAATTAATTTAAATTTGTGATTATATAAAAACTTTAAACATTTATGGTAAATTCGTTTTCTATATAATAAACATATGCCCAAATAATAATGATGGATCCTGTCATCCCAATAAACATCCAGCTGCTTCGGTATATTTAACTGTACAAGAGAAATGTTTGAGAAAAAAAATATATGCAATTGCAATGGAAAATACAAAAAAAGCACACTTTAGGAATCACTTTTGATCTTCAAATTAAAATGAACTTCATACGAGAAGTTGATGGTTGGTGTTGGTCTGAGAATCGGTCAACATTCTGTAGGAGAAAACAGAGTAATTGTTAACTCTATAAATACACTGAATAAGAGCAAATTTGAACAGTGTACTTTTATTATTTTTTACATATTTAATGGACCGAGGTAAACAATCTTTCAAGATCGAAAATTCATTTATTACTAAATAATATCAACTTAAAAGGTTAATTTATAAACAAAAACGTATTTCTTTAAACAACAATAAATCAAACTTATTAACTATGGTGTTTTATTTTTGTTATTTTAAGTTCAAAGACAATTTAAAACATTTTCATAAATCCATTTGTTATTCACTTTCCATGGCACAACAAGAATATCACGGGTTTTTCACTTACAATTCTTAATGTTTATATAAATATAAGACCTTAAACTATAATAAATTATTTAATTTTAAAAAATAATAGTGCTTTTCCAAACTACTTTTTTATATAAAGTTTAAACAAATAAAAACCAAACTTATATTAATTTGTAACTACTTATAACTTACTTTAACCTTTTAACTAATATTAAACATTAATTTTTTTTTTTTTTTTGTCATAATTAGAATATTCCATTAAATATTTACATTGAAGGAACATTGTGCAAAATAGATCTGTACGATATCACTTCCAGCCAAATCTGAATGTTTTAATTCTTCTAATATTGAACACTTCTAATTTATTATTTTTAAACAATTATTGCACATCTACGGCCATATTTTGAGTCACTCTAATGTATCAATAAGAACAATTTTGTAAATGGTAGTCCATAATTATATATCACATTTTTAAACCTAAAATTTGTAATGTAATATGAAGGGGGCGGGAAATAGTTTAAAAGACAAAATATTTTACAAAATTGATTGCAATACATTTGGAAGCTGTTGTTATGAAAAGTAAATGTTTGGTTTTTTAATAGTTGTTAACATTATCTAAGTATGCAAAATATTTTTGTACATTTCTGTTTTATTTACAGCAATCATTATTTACAAACAATTATTTGCACACACAAAAAAACTTACAACAAAGAATACCCTGGATATCAGATTTAAAAATTACCAAAATGATTAAGCATTGTTTTTCCTTATGTTAAGGAATCTAATAATCAAGAACATAGTACTTTCTCGAAGGCTCTGTTGTTCTGTGCATTGCTTCGGCAAGGTATTCAAATATTTTACGAGGCAGAACTGATTCCAGGTCAGAAGGATTGTCTAGCTGGGAAATAATTACAGCTCGACATCTATCCTGTAGATTAACAAAATCACGTTTCATAGTGACCAACACCATTTCAGTTTTAGCTGCTGTAGAGGAAATGATCGGGTACAAATTTTTTGTCACCTGAAAATCAATTGTCTTCAACATCCCAACAACCACTCATATTTCATTATATAATTGCATAATAAAAATGAAAAATCTGGTTAAAGAACGTATTTTAAAATAAATTGCAAACAAATGGCTATGAAGAGAATACCTTATGGAGATTTTTAAAAGCCACACCTAGACATTTGCCATCTTTATAAAACGTTATCGTTCCTGCAATGCCATCGAAAAGAATTCCGACAGTTGTTGGTTCATTTTCTTTAAATGGCTTTGTAAAATATGCCCACTTGCCGGAGTGAAACACAAGACCTTTATGTGACAGGCCCCAACTGTTTTCATCTTCTCCAATCAGGTTGACAAAAGCATTCACATGAACTCGTGCTGACTCTGTCGCTACACCGAACATCATACTTGTCCCAAATACCCGTTGAGGTATTCTGATTTCCCAATAATACCTTTAAGTTAAAATTTATCATTAATAAAATCTTGTACGTAATAAGTTCATTAGGCGATGCATTATTACCTCCCGTTGTTGAGAACACGAGTGCCTCTTACGGCTGCTGTTCCTGATGACCAGTTAGGGTGAAAATGTGCAATGTTTAAGCCATTGTCATAAAGTCGGACTTCGTGACTTCTGTCATGTCTGTTCCAGGTCCAATAGTCATCACAACCGTACTTTAAAGGGCTGTCTGCCTTTTCTGCTGTTGTCAACTTGTTGAACTTTACAAGATATATAATTTTTAAATGCTTGAACTGACTCCTCTAAGACGTTAGAGTATGGTGATATACTCACCTTTAAAGATTTACATAATTGTGCAGCTGCTATGCCATCCCTTTTTTCATTTGGGACAGCCTGCATCATTGTGCTCATATAAATATTTCCCACCGCCTCCTTTTACCCATTTCTAGACAACAAATATCAAATAAAGTTTTCACATGCATAATTTATTGTCGATATAATTATAGTTAAAGTAGGAAAACAAAAAAAAATACACCTGAAAACCTTTTTTTTATTTAACATATTGCACAAACCAACTTTTTTCTTTCTTCAATTGTCATTATAAAAATGCCTAGTACATTTTCATTTACCATCACATGCTTACCTAAAATATTGCACTTGAATTTGTAAGTGTAATAATATCAGTAAGGAAATGTATATTATCGGGTTGTCCGGAAAATAATGCAGGATTTTAAGTTTTCATTAAAAAAAATCTATATAAAATATTCTGTTTACGTTTACAGGATTACTCATTTGTATGAATGNTTATTTTGATTAAAGAACATTGCTTTAAAGTAACTAGTTTCTTTTTTTTTGTTTAATACCAAAATCCTGCATTATTTTCCGGACAACCCAATAAATGCAAAGCTTCATAAATTACATTAATAAAAAATAACAAAATAAAACTCTAAGCTAAGTAAAATAAGTAAAATGCTTATTAAGAATTTAAAACTATTGTACAGCGATGGTTGGATCTCTGGTCAATCTATTTAAAAAATTACAAACATTAGATGTCTTATTACATGAGCAATACTTATTTGCCTAACTTCAGACATGAAAGTGGTGCTGGAATTGTCATCGCTGATAATCCTGAGAATGGCATACAAAAGTGTAAACCCTCTTAGGACAAAATGAAATAAAATAAGACTTAAGAGAAAATTTTAAGAAGGATCAAAATAAATGATATGGCTAAAAAAAGTTTGATAAAATTAAATTTTTACTTTAAAAAAAAAACCTCAAAACTAACAGAGGGTCTTATTATGGTATGAAGATGAAAATGGAAAAAGGAGAAGAAGGCCCAAATTTCGACCTAGTAAAACTTCTAGGCTCTACACCATAAATTTTTCAAGCTCAGATGCATGCACATAACAAATAGTTAAAAAGGGATTAAACAGTGCACAACACATATTCCCAAATAACCAAGTTTTAGACTCAAACCTTCAATTCATAGTTGGACTTAGCGTATCTCCATCTCCTGGTAAAACAAAATCAAGTAACTGCGATGTGACAGGACATGAGGGGATTGAAGCAACAAATATCCCTAACAAAAGTCAACCAGTAATCTTACCTTTACGCTATATTTACAAGAAATCAAAAATCGCTCCTTTAAAATGGTTGGCTTCATCATCCGAAGTACCTACCAGTTCAAAAATCCTTCTTCCTATATCCATCTATATAATTCATTTGTTCGACCTATTCTTGAATATGCCTCAATCAACTGGAATCTGCACTACTACACTGGTATAAAACTTCTTCAAACCATTCTAAATAAATTCCTATATACACAATGATAAATCCTCTCATGCGCTCATTAAATCTTACTTCAATATTTCTAATCATAGCCACAGAAGAAAGTATTTTGAGATTATTTTTATTGTCAAATTATATAATAATTGTATAGATTCCCCAGAAATCCTTGGTAAAATCCAATTATATGTACCTCCTTGTCACGTCAGAAATCAGAAAAAAATATTTTTTTTTTTTTTGAACATGGAACAAATTTTTCAGTACACTCCCCGATGCATCGATGATAGAATGTAACAACGTAAGCAATACTGTGTGGTATTTAGTGACCATTAATTAATGATTATTTGAAGATCGTGAGTTGCGCTCTGGTGTGGCGTAGGCTTAGAAAAACATTTTCTTTATCGTGCCAAAGTTTCGATCTTTATTGAGATCATCTTCAGCGCTTGGGGTTTATAAACATTGTTTAAATTAGACAAATACATGTAAGATGTGAAAAAATGAATTTATACAATGATAGAAATTTTAGACTCAAAGTATTTATACTCACTCAAAGTGTTGTTTTTTTACATGTAGATGTGCCATTGTGTGTCGTGTTGAGAGTGCCAGTGAGATATTAATGTTTTTTGTTTATATATGTTGGATTTTGAAGGAGTCTCACGATCTCCAAATATGCAATACTGTTGATTTATTTAATATTTCTGTTTCCTCATTAAAATAATAGTTACTTAAATCACAACAATTTTATTTAGTTCAAAAATGTAATATGTTTGTAGTTATAATGCTTTATTATATCATTTTTTATATAGAGATTTTTGTATAATTCCTAGTCTTTATAATTATATAGACAGTGTGTTTAATTAAATCATTATGTTGTTTTATTTGTAAGGATTTTCTTGCCTTTCTCATGATGTATAGTAATGTATACATTATTCTTTATTAATGTAGAGTTAGTTATAAGCATTGTATTGTATATATTTTTGACTCCTTACTTTTGAATCCTTTTATANTATAATAATTTTATTATAATAAAAAAATAGGAAGTATCCTTAAGGAAGTACTGACGACTACATATTCTGGTAGGTACAAAGTTCACCTTCAGTTAACTTTGGTTTTAAGTTAGTGTTTTGTTTAAAGCTACGGCTACATTAAAGAGATTAACAAGTATTACAATTTTACGCATAAATTTGTATTTAAATTTCAAAATTTTAAGCATGCCGGACATACCCGTGATGAAGTGTGAACGTGAACGACTTAAAAAAAAAAAATCTTTATGCCTTAGAATTTAGTGCCATGGAATTATGAGCTCCGTTTTTCCAGTGCAAAAGCACTGTTACGTTAAATGGTCGCCCTTTTGGACACGCATTGTTTGACCAATTAAAAAAAAACAATAATCATTATTATAGAAATATTTCTCACTAAAAGCAAAACACTGGAATGAAATAAATAATATTTGGCCCAATTGAAATGGATTCGTCCGTTCCTTTTTCAACACGGTGATATGTCCTCAAATTAAAATTTCCCTAAAAAATTTGTTTTTTAATCTTCCAAATCATACTTAGATTTAAGTAAAATACAGTAAGAAAATTAAAAACATTTCAGTATTGTGAGTTTATTTTTATTCTGAAAATATGAATTAACGCAACATGCTCATTCAATACAAACACAAAATAATGTAATTAAAGCAATAAATTATTTTCATTATTATTGTATGAAATAATTTTTACACAGTGCAGAATTGCACATGATTAATTTACAATCAGTTAATTTTAAGAACCATACAATTTTTTTAGCTTACTTGCTATTTTGATTTATTTCATTTTGAAACTGACAAAAATTTACCTTTATATTAAATAAATACTAAATAAAACCGAAAAACGTCATTTATTAGATAAGAAAAATGTCAACGACGCAGTGAATAAAGAATCGGAATTCCGTTACGCTAAAGGTGGCAAAATTCCGATTTGAACACTTTCGACGATATATTTCGTTGAAAACTGTCCAAATTGCATTTATCAACTTAAGAAAAAATCTATCTAAATATGTTTAAAAGACCACGAAACTTACTGAAATGCGTCTCCGGTTGTCAACGTCATAGTAATGGATACGAATAAAGTAGGAACTTGCGCTAAGCCGTCCGCTCGATATTAGAACCGGCCACTCCCATGCCCTTTGAATCTATCGACCCATCAGCTGACTGAGGGATGACTCACCCCCTGATCCAATCTCATTAAAATATCGTTTAATTGATAGACATCGGCAAGTTTGTTTCTCGTACAAAATAGAAAATTTAAAGTAGAACGTGTCAAAACTGTCCTCGATCGACAGAGCGGGCTCGGTTTTCGAAAAGTTCAGGGTAGATCGCCATGGCGACGGTGTAAACCAAGGGTCAGCTTGAAAAAAGATCATCTATGATTGTGATCCAATGTTCGGAACAACTGAATCAGAAAATCTAGAAATTTGTTGTTTTGACCGCCTTATAAAAGCAGTTACATAAAAAAGTTCGAATTAGCACCTAGTTGACGTTCTAAAAGTGGTACAGGAAAAAAGCAGAGCTTTTCCAATATACACACATTTTTAGAAATTTATCGCACTAAAAATTAAATATAATTAAATAATAAATTAAAAATTTTTGTTCGTAAAAGAACATTAAAGATGACTAATAGTTGGAGAAATAATATGAGATCTCCGAATCACTCCTGTCATATCTTCATTGGGCAGTAGATGCCATTCGAGACCCTAGAAAACAAAAAATCCCCTGAAGTATTGCTTGAAGTAAAAAGAATTTGAGATGTTGCCGGATTAACGCATAAAATGCACAACTATAGGAGCATACCTAATCAGCAAATTCACCTATGCTCCCTTAATATCAAGAACACTTTTGTCCCTCAAGGAAGTGTATTAGGTCACTTATCAATTTTAAATTTTTCAATAGCTATGATATTCTAACGACAGCATAAGAACGTTCCGTTGGCTGGACCTCGCAGCACTAAACACATTCAGGTGGCCTAATTGTTCATATAGCTATACAAATAGTGTTCAGAGGTGAAAGCTTGGCACCAAAGACGCTGTTTTCTGTCCTGAATATTTCTTCTTCCAAAGTGTGAAACTTTCACCGGAATACGTGAAAAGCCGAGAGAGCAAGATCTTAACATCGATACAACTTTTGACTGATATACTTCAAGGAAGCGTCTTGGGACCTTTATTGAATTGTATTGACACATCTATGACATTTTCCGATAACATAACACTTACTTACACACACTATGAAGGGATCTAGCAGCACTAACAAGAGAGTCAGGTGAGATTACCGAATAGCAGTATCTGTGTGTTCATATAGCTAGTGTTCAAAAGTGAACGCTTGACAACAAAGAATCTTAAATTCAAGGCAACTTTTGACTGAATTCGTCAAGGAAGCGTCTTGGGACCTTTATTGAATTGCACCTTCAAATCTAATCCTACGTACGACAACATAGTGCTCAGTTTAGTCCAAAGCTAAGACGGCCCACCAAATCACTATATGTGGCCAAACTTTATTTTCTGGTTATCTCGACTTTACGGCATGAATCTTTTGGCCAACCTTTTTCTCCTCGGTATAGGATATTGGCCACCAAGCATGGCTTAATGGTGAGAGGATATTTTTTTTCCAAATGTTTCTTGAGTTAATGAATGTCTCACTTAATTTCATAGTGTAACATGTAACGACAGTTGCTCTCGAAACATCACTAGCTACACTTCGTATACGACTTGACACAACTTTAACCAAAGCTCTGAAACCTCCGAACGATTTTTTTCTTCTTTCTGGCCAGTCATATTCACGGGGACCATAACCAAGTAAGCGGATAAACAGGCTTGGTCACTTCATTCTCGACTTAACTGTGCAATCAGTCTTTAAAGCTCTCTTCTTAAATTGTTTTAATTACAAATAACTTCCTGACTTCACACAAGTGAAGATATTTGCTTCTATTCGATAAGATAGTTGAAATTGATTGAAAAAAATTGATAATTAATTTTTATGTAGTATTTTCAATAAATAACAAGCTTTTTAGTAATCCATCCATAGTAATGGTTATAGGGTGACTAATTGCACGCTGGTATCTTTAAGGTCTATCTTTAATACCCGCAACACATCGAATTAACAAATTAATTAACTGGATGTTAATTAATGCATTTCTCAGATACCTACTAGGGGTTCATAAACCATGCAAGATAAATCAGTTTTAAAACCTTCAGCTAATTACCAGAACTCAATGTACGAGGAGCAAAAATTCAGAAGATTAATAAAAACCTTGATAAAAAAAAAACTATTACACGATGCTCCACGGCTTAATTGGAGAACTTGAGATGAGGTACTGAGTAAGGCCACTGGCATTGTGAATCATACAACGCCAACTTCCGTTATGATTATTTTTTATCACTAAGCACATTCTCAAGAGCGGAATCTATTTTCGTCGAACGTCTGTTTACGGAAACGCCTGCGATTCAAATAACGATCAAAACTTTTCAAAATCGTAATTGAGGGAATGGTAGATTTTTAAGACATATTTGCGTAATCAAATTGTCTGTCAGATTGTGTGCGGGTACTTTATTTAGTATTAATTGAACAAATGTTAATAACTTAAGGAAAAAACCGTACAAATAGCGACAATAAATGTGTGGTGTTTAGTGACCGTTACTTGATGATTATTTGGAGGTCGTGAGATGCGGTCTGGTATGACATGGTTCTAGAATAACATTTTCTTTATCGTGCCAACGTTTCGATCTTTATTGAGATCATCTTCAGGGCCTGGGATTTATAAACAATGTTTAAATTTTACAAGTACATGTAGGATGTGAAAAATGAATTTAAACAATGCTAGAAAATATTAGATTTAAAAAAACTATACAATGCTAGAAAATTTTAGATTAAAAAAATGAATTTGTACAATGCTAGAAGATTTTAGATTCAATCAAAGTATTTGTAACATGAAACATCAATATCTCTCTGGCATTCTCAGCACGAAAGACAAGATTGACACATCTACACGGAAAACAAACATTTTGAGTGAGTACAAATACTTTGATTGAATCTAAAATCTTCTAGCATTGTATAAATTCATTTTTTTAATCTAAAATTTTCTAGCATTGTATAAATTCATTTTTTTAATCTAAAATTTTCTAGCATTGTATAAATTCATTTTTTTAATCTAAAATTTTCTAGCATTGTATAGTTTTTTTAATCTAATATTTTCTAGCATTGTATAAATTTATTTTTTTCACATCCTACATGTATTTGTAGATTAAGATGATCTAAATAAAGATCGAAACGTAGGCACGATAAAAAAATATTTTTCTAAAAATGTGTGGTGATTAGTGACCGTTAGTCGATGATTATTCAGAAATCGTGAGATGCGGTCGATTTCTGAATAATCAGTTTTTCTAAAACCACATCACACCAGACCGCATCTCACGTCCTCCAAATAATCAGTGACAATAAACTAGTCGTTACAAAAAATTAAACTGAATAAATTAAAATGATAAAACCTATTATAAAATGTTCTTAGGATTAATTACTCACCTTCAATTAATCTTTAAAATAATGAGCTTCATACTTTTGGTCATGAAGTTGTTTGATTTTCTGGTCAATAGTGTACTCCTGTATTTAAGCAAAATTTGGACTCTTCAATACCAAGAATTGGTAGGATAAATTCAATTTATTACATTTATTAACTATCATCTTGGTCTGCCTATGATAATAATATTAATATATTAATTTTATTAATATTCAGAATACAAAATCTTTTTTAATTTATTTATTACAAATACAAATTACATGGACTATGTCCATCGGTAGGAGTTTTTTTAAAATTCATATATGAATTTTTTTTTAAATTATATAAAAATACACTGGCAGGCAAAAAATTCCACCTACTCATATAACTTGATTTGTATATATTTTTATATAGTAATCAGTTTCAGGTTTTTTTAAAGTTTAATAATTGAGTCTTCGTCTAAAAAAGTAAACAAATTTGCTAAGGAAGATGAAAAAAAAATTATGTACAGATAAAATTAGTTTTAATTTTGTTTTAGATTTGTAATTAGCATTTCAATATCGCTTATTTCCTCCTCTTGCCTTAATTACATTTCGAACACGCCTCGGCATATTTGGCTCTTATTCGTCTTTTGAGGTTACCCCATAAATGTTCGATGGGGTTCAAGTCTGAGAACGTGCTGGCAAGGCTAAGACCCTGATGTTATGCTGCTGAAGAGCGACATGTGGGCGCTAGGATTGTCGCTGATTTCATCGAGGATAGGCAACGCATGATGTTCCAAAATTTCATCCACATAGCGAGTGGCTGTCAAAGGCCATCCACGAACAACAACCAACTCTGTGGGGCTGTCCATTGAAATTGAACCTTTGAGCTACGTTGGAAAGGTTGGCTCTGGGAAAAATTACAGGCTTCATACCTTTCATTTCGCCTTCTCCACACTCTTTCACGCCCATCTGGAGATAGTCGAGCAAATCTACACTCATCTGTAAAAAGTACAGCAGACAAATCGTCCAACGACCGATGGCTGTGTTCTCGAACAAATGCGAGCCGGTCAACTCTGGTCCTCTTAGGGGGCGAAAAGCCATCAGTCTATACTGATTTAATCTTCTTCGAGCAGTGCGTTCAAAAATTTGGACACCTCGAACTTCCTGGAGCTGATGAATCGCTTGAACAACAGTAAGGTTCCGGTTTCGCAAAATTCTCAAAGTCAAAAAAACGGTCATCCTGTGGTTCTGTTACCCTAGGGCGTCCAGAACCGGGCCTTCTATGGTAAGACCCAATTTCTCGAAAATATCTAGCATACCTGATATCCATCTTCAATAAGTGCCACACCACACTCAACATCTTCAACACTAAGTGGCATTTTTAAGTTTAGAATCAAAAATTAAGAAAACAAAGATGAAAATTAAATAGTTTATTGCTTCAGAATTCAAATGAGACTGAATAATCATTTTAAATTCCGTAAAAAGAAAACACGGAAAAATCCTTTATCCTTGTTTTGGATTAAGGATTAAGTGTTTATCTCTAATTGATATTCACAATTTAAAACATAGCATAAGCAAATATTTATTGGTAAAAACAATGAGACAAATTGAGGGCAGAATTTTCTTTTATCGAGAAAATAAAAAATGATCAATTGGGTGGAATCTTTGTCTGTCAGTGTAGAAATATAAAGTCCCTAAGTAAACGTTTTCTGTAATTATAAGATAGCAGCATGTAACTGACTAAATTCTCCCAGTTGGTACCATGAAAATAATTTATAAATTCTTCCCACTTTAATTTTTCTGTTTTGAAACACCTTTTACAATAATATTTTAAGATTGGGATATAAAGCGGTGCGTGTTTTCAATAGCTACACCAATTTTACTGATCCTGAGGTAGACCCACTGAACAATTTAGTTGCAATAATCCCCCCCTAATCTTCAATATATTGTAGCAATAAAATATCCAATATTTTTATTATTCATAAATTATGTCTGACAAGTTGAACATTTAAAATTTTATATATAACACGTAATTTGGGTGCACTTCTAGAATTATTGCTATAAAACTTCACTTTTCCTAGTAAATCGTTTCCATAATTAATATATTTTTCATAAATACGGTCCAGGCTGAACTCGAATTTGCAGCATAACTAACATATTTCCTTGAACCAGTCGATTTTCCTAGTTAAAATATAATCTGGCAAATATTTTTTTAAGGTGATAGCCAATGTGAAGCCGGAATGTGTAATAAAAGACAGGGAGTCGACACTAGATCAAAACTACACGATTTTCATTAACGTCACAAAAATTTAGTGAACTTGAAACCTTTTGTACTTCCTATTTCTATTCTAGCCATAACTCAATTCAGATAGTTCATTCAAGTCTGTATATGAAGATGGTGGAACTCCTCGAACTTTGTTAAAATCGCATTGTCACAGATTGAAAACCGCAATAAGAGGCGTAGAAGGCATAAATCCTTACCGGACGTCATATTATACCCTGGGTGGCCCTTTTCATTTCTCTGGTCTTTTCCCAAAATGACCACTGCAAACCCTTAAGAAGTCAGCGATGCGGTTACGATTTGTTAGCCTGGACGCATTCACGGCCGCACGGTAAATCTAAAAGTATAATTCATTTCAAGTCCTATCTCCAGTGAAGAGATACGTTTTTATATTCGTATAGGTCGATTTTCGATCTTCTTGGATTTTAATTTTCGTATCTAAAGTAAGGATTTCCCAGCGCATCTGCCAACTAGAGACTCCAGGGGCTCTTTCCATAAAGGCGTTTGACTTCAATATTTATAGGTCGAGTTTCTTTAGAGTTTCCCGGTCACTCCTACTCATTGTGATCATGTGAATCGCATCGGTGACAGTTCTGTTGAAATGTCATTGCCAGTTTGCAAAGCAGGGGGCTCAATAATTACGTGAGACTCAGAGTCTGTTTGGCTCCTCACAGCAGGGGTTGCTCCCGTTTACAGTCAGCCAACTATAACACATTTTGTCCTTGTCGTGACTAAAACGGGTTCTGATTCTAAACTAGAAACTGTTCAATTTCACACTCAAAATTAAAATTGATGGAGTATGTAGTTACTTATTACATAAACATTAAATTAACATACAGTAACAAGCACGTGAAAGGTTTAACAATTTAAGCTGAAGTTAATTCAGGAATAAATTTTGTAATCAATTATTTTTTCCGTGTAAGGTTTTGTTCTTTATTATGTTCTTTATTATCTTATCAATTATTCTTTCCATGTTAAAAGTCAGTGTCACGAGCGGGATTCAAACCCTCGACCTTCGGGTAAATAAGTCACTACTCTACCACTTGAGGTAGAGTAGCGGCGTATTTAGCCGAAGGTCGTGGTTCGAATCCCGCTCGTGACACTGATTTTTTGTCTCAACCAAAACCTTACATGGAAAGAATAACTAATTGAAAGATGTAACTTGGTCAATTGACCACTAAAACATAAATGAACTAAATTGTATCATGAAATGGCCGCACGGGAGTGTTTATTAAATTATTTATTATGTTGTAGAGAAAATTCTACAATTGAATATGAAATTATAAGGGTGGTCACAACCCTTAACCCATAGTGAAAGAAAAAACACTGCCATTTTAAAAAGGATATTTCTAGAAAATGGACATATTTTTTTGAGAATCGAAGGAGGAACTGGGATTAAAAATTGCCTTCCCCAAGTGGCAACTGATCTACTTTTCTCTACCTGCCATTGAGACGTTGAGTATGCTGTAGTTTTAATACAGCTTAATACAGTTCCATGAACCACCTTGGAGCATCGAAAGTAGAGACGATTAAAATTCGGTCAAAAATGCTGCAAGAAAGACCAAATGGTTGGTTTTGACTATCCATAGACATATATGCATCCGCACGCCAATAGTTCTCCATCGCGTCAACTCCAGTACTGTTAATATACATCAGCTCGGATTAGGTCTTTGAGGTTTGGGTGTAATTTTTATGTCCATTGGTTCGGGGACAGCGGCACTAGAAAAGCTCGAGCAGTCGGCGTTGTTCACTGAGCGCGCCAAGCCAGGTTTGCGACGATCTCTTAAGAGTCTCACTCGCTCGGCATCGGACATCGGGATTGATCCAAAGCCTCCTTTTTTACATGAAACTATTACAGTAAATATGGAATTACTTAATAACCAAACTTCGTCAGTTCGCTGTACCTCAATGCAATATCTCAATATACTCAGGATTGTGTTGCCATTTCTGAAAATACTTTCGGTAAAAGCGTTCTATTACAAACTAGACGGTTGTAATGTTGTCAATTTGGATACAAATCTAAGTAAGCACTTGTGTAGTGCCATTTAATTTGTACTTTTAATTATACTATGTCGCAATAGACCCCGAGTTGGTGAAATTCGAGAGAAGGATGATCTTGTTGAGTGTTTACCGACAATTAAGGGTTGGCCGACGGGGGGGACCCAGGGGGTCTACTCTGGCTGATTTATCGATTCCATTGTTCTGGCAGAACAGGAGGTCAGCATCCCTAACGTACCAAAGACGGTCATCTAATGTCCGCGCTGATTTATACCTCGCAAGCAGACATTAACCTCGCAGCGAGGGGCCACCGGCAGTTCAACAGTGCCGCTCAATCGCAATAGTTTTCGGAAGCGAACTTTTAAATCACATGTCGGATTTAACAAAGAAAACATTTGGCGATTTCACTTATTCCCTTGTGGCTTAATTAGCAGTTCTCTCTTGAAAGTTTTCAAAATATGTAGTTAATAATTTATACGAGTAAAATTATTTTAATTCGTTTGTTATGTTTAATGTTAAATTGATAAACACGGTTATGCTAAATTTGATTCTACTAGCTGTTGCTTTGTAAGTAACATAGTTTACATTACTACAGACTTTATTAATACAAATATAATTCTGAGGCATACAGAAATCATATTAGTAAAATAATATGACCTTAATACTATTTGAGTAAGGTTTTAATGTTGGTCGCGATGTCTTTCAATTCAGCAATGAGCTAGATGAAATCCTACTAGACTTGAGTGATATTGTGTCTGCGAAACGAAGAACTGTCGATAACAGACAAAACCGACGAGACAGGACCAGCATGATGGGAAAAGATCCAAACTAATAGACTACACGTTTCGGGGGAAAGTGTTTTGGTACTTATAGCCAGACGGTTGAGGTACCGGAACTAATTCCGGTTTAGCCGAGAAAAGTACTGGTTTACCATTAAGGCTGATAGATTTATGACGCCGCGTAAACAAACGTTAAAAGTCGATCATATTTGTTTGCTGGATAAAAAAAAATCTTCGGCAAAATGAAACTAAACTAAATGATAGATCTGACATCAATCTGGCTGTACTATCAGAAAAACATCACAAAACTTACCTTACAACTTTTAAATATAATAAATAATTTAGCTGATCCTTTCGGGCATCTTCCCTAAGAACTTCCTAACGTTGGTCTGTTTTCTTTTAGTTTTTAAGTACTTTTACTATATTAACAAATCATTTAACAAATAGATGATTTTATTCAGCTCTTCTAATAATAATAAACTTACTTTAGACTATTCTTATATACAGTTGATTTTACCAGTATTATCATTATTCATATCGAGCAGGTCGAGTGTGATCGGTTTGTCAAGTGCAGCGCCGATTGACGTCTGCACGTTCTCCTCGTTAACCATCACAGACCAGACTTGGATCCCTTTCATCGAAAAAATGGTCAACTGTTTGGAACTGGCCGTTTCCGTCGACAAAATGGATAGATACGATTTGTTGATATCCCTCGCTGAAGAACTGTCAGAGGCGGCGTTCCAACATTCCGATAATCAATATGATAGCAGATCTGTGATGAACATGCTTCCTTCCTCGATACCAAACGGTTTGCACGATAAGGTATCGAATATTTTTATGGAATTGTAATAATCTTTTAAGCAGCTGATAAACAGTGTTTTTATTTCGCTTCTTTTCCCCCCCTTGGCAGTTATCAGGCATATTGAACAAGCACATGAAGAGCGGAAAAGAATTGATGAGGGCTGCAAGAAAATTTTAACCATTTGTTTTTAATAATGAATAAAACAATGTTGCATTCTCGTTCGAAGGCGACGTCAATGTCCGTCTGAGAAAAGAAGGGTCTGATGATGAAAATGATCCTCAAAAGAAAAGTACGTAATTGTTTCTAATCATTCCGATAATTCTACAGTATACAAATTGTTTTTCAATCAACCCAAAAATGTCTTCTAACATAGAACACAAATGTTTCATTTGTTAATGACCATTTGAAACATTCAGCACAAAACTTTCCCTTTTGAATGAAATTGAATTAATTTAACCAAAAGGTTTTCATTAATTGATTTATAAAAATTATCTTTGTCACGACCTGCATTTTTTTAAGCATTCTGATTTTGCAGTTTTGAGTTTTAATTTAATGGATGTATTTGTTTCAGTCGAGTTAAAGCTGCTTTTTCGCGTACCCGTGTTTTCACTTACCATCTTGTTTAACGTTTTTAATAAATCATTGTGAAATTTAAAATGTTGATTTATTTTTTAATCAATAACATGAACTAATACGTACAATTTTTAACTTAAGCCAGGTATTCTATTGTTAGATGATGAAACAAGATAAGAATTTAAAATATAGTAAAAAATGTGTGGTGATTAGTGACCGTTAATCGATAATTATTCAGAAATCGTGAGATGCGGTCTGGTGTGATGTAGGTTTCAGAAAAACATTTTCTTTATCGTGCCAACGTTTCGATCTTTATCGAGATCATCTTCAGGGCCTGGGATTTACAAACATTGTTTACATATAACAATTACATTTTGAATGTGGAAAAGTGAATTTATACAATGCAAAATATATTTATTTTTTATATTCAAAATTATAATTTTAGTCTGCCTTGCCTCGCTGTTTTGGTAATATCGGCCGTGTTTCGATTTCTCGCCATCTACATTGGTAGATATAATTGTTTTATGATTCATCTGTACAAACATTAAACAATAAATAGACAGCAAGTATCTATAAAATTGTACGTAAAAAGGACGTCTTGTACGTCCATTGTATCCAACCATTTTGATCTGCAAATGCTCTTCGTTTTGGTTAGGCAGATATGTTTCTGATTCTCCGAAGTTTGAGTGTTCAGGGGAATAAGCCGGGCGAGGCAAAACAATATTTTGAGGCCAAAAATGATCGGAAACTCAAGTTAAATACCCTAAAAAGCAAACTTGAACTGTACACCATTGATTATTCCTTATCGTTTTGTCTTGGAATAACTTTTAATATATCAAATTGTTATTTCTAAATGTACGAATTCTTTAAAGATATTCTTAGCTTTTAAAGCTTGAAAGAGAAATCGATCAATAACTAACGTTTTCTCATAATTTATCATAGGATTTTCCATTTTGCTCTATATTTAAATTACCAATAGCGTTGATTTCAATTATCAATAAAAGTTAGATTGTTTACAAATGTGTGGTGTTTAGTGACCGTTAGTTAATGAACATTCGGAGGTCGTGAGATGCGGTCTGGTGTGATGTAGGTTTCAGAAACACATTTTCTTTATCGTGCCAACGTTTCGATCTTTATTGAGATCATCTTCAGGGCTCAAAGTGTTTGTCTTCTTTGTAATTGTGCCATTCTTGCGTGTCGTGTCGAGAGTGGCCACTCGACACGAAAATGTTTTTCTGAAACCTACATCACACCAGACCGCATCTCACGATTTCTAAATAAATATCAATGAACGGTCACTAATCACCACACATTACTGTGTATGATTATCGCAAAGTATTTAACCTCGTCTATTTGGCAACATTGCTGTGAATGTTCCTCGCACTGATGTAGAGTTAGAATAAAGTTGTCGACTCTTGCCAAATGGATAAGTAATGAACATTTATTGGTGTTCATAATTAATAGGTTGTCTTATCTAGGTTTTTATTTATTTATTGTTTATTTTAGCCAAATCCTGTTCAGCTGTATTTCATACATCTGGCGATCAAGTCACACAATCGATTTGAAGTTTGGTCGTTTCCGATCATTATCCGCCTTTTCGCCATCTTGAATTCAGGATCTGTACACTCTTAACCAGTAAAATTAGCAAAACAAACAGACAAAACAGCGAGGATAAGCATAGCAAAATAATTGGATACGTCCATATAGTTTCATCACAAAGTGTTTTAGACTCAATGATGGATTTTCCAATGAGCTAAATGGCTCTTCAAAGAAACAAGGTAAACTCAATCTGCTTTATGTACAATAGAAGCAGACTGTATCGATAATCTACAAAATCAATATTCATCGATTGAAAAAATCAAGACAAACATAACTGATCTGCAGTTTAATAGTTTTGATGATTTTAACCTTCCCATGGTATTTGTTTTTATCCTGGTTGTATGAAAATTATAAGATGATCTCAAAAGAAATACTGAATTTTCTCTTGAGGTCTGCATGAAAATTTCGCCAGTGTCAATGGTTTGTCTTATTGTTGTTTGTCTTGTTTTATTTGTCAGAACCGAGTTCTTTTAATACGTTTGTGAAAGGTGAAAGGTGAAAGGGTCGTATTTATTCTAGTACTGTCTGCGTCTTTGATGGATTAAGCCTGAGTTAAAAATTATTTTTACTTCTTTCAATCTTTTATGTAAGGTATTGGTTGAAATGAAAAAGCTAGTGTCACGAGCTGGATTCGAACCCACGACCGTCGGCTAAATACCCCGCTGATCTACCACTTGAGCTATCGTGATTTCGATTCACTCGGACACCAACTTCCCATCTCAACCCACCCTTCGAATTTTCCTTCTTTTTGCCATTTTTCAATATTTCGAATCCTGCTCGTGACACTAGCTTTTTCATTTCAACCAATACCTTACATAAAAGATTGATTAATTGAAAGAAGTTATTTGGTCAATCGGGCCACGAAACATAATGGATTATTTTTACTCTTAGTATCAGTTTGTTCGTTTTCTTTGTAGGTTGTTTGTAATATCTTAATTTATAATTTTATAATGAACCATAGGTTTTCGTAATGTTCATTTTCCGACATTGTTAAACTAAACGAACCAATTTTGAACATCTCCGTATAAGGGGTAGTTAATGGTATCTATTTTGTGAGGATTCATATTGACGAGTTGTTTAGTTTCTCTTTTTTCGAAATATCTGAATGTAACAGGTTCACTCTAAATGGCACATAAAGAAAATCAATGAAAAAAATAGTTCTGGTAACAATGACATATACAATAGGATCTGTAAACAATAATGAAACCCGGTTTACAACAATGGTTAAAACGGACAGGTAAACAAAAGACATGTAAAAAAGTCACTTTCGAATCAGACAAACGGATCACATTCACATAATAAGAGATGTACATATTAACCGATATTTTACTAATTAGGCAGAACTGCACGACAATGTGAGATTTATTTGAGCGTTCTACGAGGTAGTGGATACGTAAATTGGTCATTAACGATCTGTCGTTAGGACTATTGGTCAGTTTTGACTTGGTACCCGTTTGTCACTTGGTAAGTCGTATCCCGCTCAAACTTACTGCTGAAGATAGCGAAAAGCCGAAATGCGTGTCAGATCAACCCAGCGAGGATAGGCTTACGAAAATAATCGTTAACGGCCAAGTTACAACTGCACAAATAACACACAATCGAAAAACTACTGAGACAAAAATCGATAAGAAACTATAAAAGGTAGGTGGCCGCAACGGTTTAGGCGTTGACACGGCGCTCATCACTGTAAGGTAAAGGTCCCGGGTTCGAATACTTACAAATGGGCTTTTTTTCAAAAACACCGGCATGAGGTGCTCTTGACTTCTGCTTTTGCGAAAACTATATAAAAATATATACTAACACAAGAAAAATAATACACTACAAAGAATATACCAAATAATTTAGGGACAACGGTGGAACACGTTCAACCCCAAAAAAAAATTCATAACAAATGCTTAAATATAACTAAGATGCTCTTTTTATCTTTCACAATGAACAAACAAGAGAGATCTGATACAAGCCCACCGCTGAAGGTGTACAATCGACCAAAAACGCGGGATAAGAGGACCAAAATGGTCGGAATAATTTCCCCGAAGATTTAAAAAGCAATTTCATAAAAGATTTGTGATATTTCATCATATAAACTCTAGTGAAAAATAACAATTAAAACACGCCGTAGATCAATTTCCCCATTGAAATATTCAGTCTTAAATCGATCAATTACGCAATTTGGCAAATTAAAATTATAAATTTGCCTTTTTCGACATGGTGGATACTGGAGAGCCTCGGGTAAATAAAGCAGTACGACCATGCACATGACTCACCCCCTCAAAGGGGATGCGGGCAAACGCCATCTTATACCAATATATTCCATGAAAGAGGGTCCAGAGGGTAGAAAAAGGGTGGCGAATCCACAATCAACGCCATGTTCTTATTTTTCAGCCAATACCTTATATTTTTACAAAATTTATTACAAATATAGAATGCACGAATATAGAATTTTTTTTGCTGTTATACAAATATATATTATAATATCACATTTAATCAAATTTCTAAAACACAAGGCACAACGTTTTACCAAGAATATATATTATATAATATTTTTTAAATCTAAATATTTACAACATGGTAATTACATAATTACATTTGAGCATTGTAGATTTAATTACAGAGAAGGCAGTTTGATTTAAAGATTGTAAGCTAAATAAAGGTTTTTTAATATACTAGAATGTTTTCCTATGGTTTTTTAAAATGTTTTTTAAGAAGGACGGAGTTTAAATTTTATTTCCAATTATAATATTTTAAATCTTATTTACATCTTATCACAGAGCCTTTGAGCATTAAGTGGAAATATATTGCAAAATACATTTTATCATTATATATCTTTTATTTATGCAGACCGGTTTATTATACGGTGTCGAAGTTTGGTTTTTATAAATATTGCATGACACTTAACTATTGCTCTGGAGACATCAAGAAATATTTAAATTTAGCCAATGATTTCAGAAATTTCATGTAATGTGTACAAAAAATGTGAATACAAAGATGTTAGAATACTTCCTTACAAGTATAACTTTTATATTTTTAAAGTTTTTATGGTTTTTTTGTTTGTTTGTTATTTTTTTGTATTTTTGTATTTTTTTCCCCAGCTTAGTTTAATGAATCTAAAGTTGATTTTAACCCTGTCTTGAATCGGTTTTTAAAAGTGCTCTCGAGGCCCCCTCTCACTCGAAGATTGCATTAATAACCGTAAATATACGGGTAGACAAAAAAGTGTGACGGGATTTCGGTGTATTGCGGGAAATGGGTTTTGGTGTGTTTCTTCAGATGGTCCTTCCTCCCGAAAGTCTTTCCGCAGTGTGCACAAGGGTAAGGACGGACGCCCGTGTGGATCCTCCTGTGCCTTGTCAGCTCTTCGTTTCTTGTGAAGGATTTCTCACAACCCGGTTCTTCACATTTAAAAGGACGCTCTCCTGTAGAAAGACATATATTAATAAAATTGATCGAATGTTACAAGGTAGAAAAAGGGCATGGTTGTGAGACTTACCCGTGTGGATGCGTACGTGACCCTTCAACTGGCCGTTGTTGCTGAAAGCAACATCGCAATATGGGCATTTGAAACGTTTTGGCCTTTGTTTCGATTTTGACATGTGAGGTGGAAAGCCTTCCGCCATCGTAACGATGCCCCAGTACTTATCGAAGGCTTCGCTCCATTCCGTCGGAGGTATTCGCAACTCTTGTTTACTATTTGTCTACAGACAAAATACTTCACGTTAGTACTTTAGAACTTAAGCATAATACTATTTTTTTTAAACTAATTTTACATCATATCTCGTATCATCAAATGTGAATTTCTAAAAAAAAGTGAATTAAATTGGTGCCGAGTCCGCTGGGATGTTATGACTGAGAAGTGAAACCGAGGGCCAAACCCTGGGTCCCGGAAAAAATGAAAAATAGAGAAAGGATTATTCTCACACGATTGAGGATAGGCCATACTCGCCTTACCCACTGTCATCTCCTCATCGGAAAGAGACCCAGGAAGTGCCCCTGTGCGGCGCAGTTGTAACAGTGAGACACCTTTTAGAAGAACAGAGTATGGAGAACCTACTTGAATACATGTTAAGTGTACATGACAGCGACTATAAAGATAATCTCATTACATATTTAAAATCAATAAAACCAACCGCACGTTGTATTCCCCACTTTTATTATGTATGAATGTATTTATTAGCACGAATGATGAAGTATGACGGAATATTGAGTACCCACAGGCCCACCGAATTAGGTTATGTAATTTAATACCTACAGAGAGATGTGAGGGAAGGGCTCGACGGCATCCGTTGAACCCTTCCATTGTAAATATATTTATTAGTGTGAGTGGTTATGTACGAGTGGACGGGTCTGTCGAGAAATATCGTCTATTCCGCGAGCTTGTCAAAAACTTATATTAATGAATAAGTGGAGAAAGATTTGATTTGTGAATCGCCGGACAATAAAAATACACGGTGCCAATTTTAATCGTAAATACGGCATGAAAGGTTACTCCATATGAACCATATTGGCGTGAATGAAGGGTGATCGGCGAGGTGACTCTCACCTGGACTCCGATTTAATTATATGGGTGGTTACTCAATGGGTCATTTGTACTCTGAGACCTGCCAAACATACGTTAGATTAAAATCTTATAGTAGCATGATTGTGTATGTAATATGTGTTCTAGAAATATTGCACGTGGAATAAAAGTTAATAAACATCTTTTGATGTAAGGTCTTGGTTGAAATGAAAAAGCTAGTGTCACGAGCGAGATTCGAACACACGACCTTCGGCTCGAATCCCGCTCATCACCCTAGCTTTTTCATTTCAACCAAGACCTTACTTAAAAAGATTAATCAATTGAAAGAAGTAATTTGGTCAATCAGACTACTAAATATAACGGAGTTAATAAAAATGATTATAACAAAATATGTACTAATAAACATATGGATCGTCTAGCAACCAAAAGTATATGACAAAAAAGTGATGAAAAATGCAGAAAAAAAACATATTTTCTCGACTATAAATTAATGTTAGAAGGACAAATATGCGAGGAGCCGGCAATGGCCATAGTAGTTAGCCAGTAAAAAGATGATAATCGAACGATAACACTTGTTTCTCCTTGCTTTAAAATCTCGCAACCATTAAAAACCAACCATTCCATCTTTTTGTGTCATTGTTTGATATGCGGACAGTAGAAATCATGCATAAAATATTTTTGGTTGGTTTCTGATCTGGCCTTCTTATGATCTCGCTCTCTTGATATACCGGATGCATGAACACAAACGACATTATCTTAAGTTGTCATAAATAATTTTTTTTTCAAACTTAACACACAGGAAAATACCGTAATACAAGAAGATTCAACCACTATAAAATTTCTTCAGTCTCAAATCGACCAGAAGATGAGAAAGCCGAATACGACATCAAATTCCAAAAGAAAAATCTCACAATAAAATCTATTTATCTTGTATAACTCTATTTCAATTCTAGTTATTGAAGAAGAACTAGGAGGTAGGTAAATTAGGAAGAGATAGTTAGGAATTAAGGCTGGTTGTCAAAACGGCAAAGTCAATTTATTAACCCAACAACAAGAAAATTTGTGTTAAAAAAAATAATATACTTACTTTATGTAAATAATATTTAACGATAGATTTCCTCCTGTTTTCTGCGACATGAATCTGTTTGAACCATATCATATTAGTGTGACTATCCTCGCTTTGTTGGTTTGTCAGAAGAGTTTCTGTAGATGTATGCCAACTGTAGTTAAGTTGTATGTTTTTTAGTGTCAAATAGGTTGTGTTTGTATTATTTCATGTCCTTATTTTTCGACCTTTTTCAATGTCATTTAGTACGCTTCCCTGTGACGATTTTCGTGATGGTTTTCTGCGAAGTGAGTCGTGTTCTTTGTACCTACATGTCTTTTATTTTTTGCCCTGTCTGTCTGATGTAGTTGTATCCGCATCAGTATAGCGCGTATACCATTTTTGACAAGTGTGTTGGTTTTGTCAATATCTAGACTTAGTAGTTTTCTGATTTTGTTCGTTTTCACTGCTAATAATTCCCCATTTATTAAATAGATTTGTTAGATTATATGTTCCTTTCCCTATAAATGTAGATTATTTTTGTAGTTGTTTGCTTAATTCATTTTCATTTACAAAATCCCTTGTATGTTTGACAACCAATATTAACACTCCCTAACTTTTTAATATTTCTCCTTCAAAAACTAAAAATGTTAAAACTTTGTCTGATTATTCATTTAGAAAAATATAATTACGGGGATGTTAAACAAAATTAAATAAAAAAGCTCTGTCCTCCCAATTTCCCCAAATATATGCCCCAATTTCTCATTGCATCATAGCGTCCAAGACACAATTGATATTAAAAATATAAACTATACGAAAAATTACATTTCATCAGACAAAATGCTGTCATTTGCATTATCATTTTCATATTGAAACACTCTGAATGTAGGGCTCTGCTTCACCCTGCGTTTTTTCCATGCTTCCCAGTACAAATTCAATAAAACGAGAGTAATACTCGAAAACAGAAAGTAAAACTAGGTTATATATCTAACAGAAAAGGAAAGGAATAAAAGTAAATTACAACAAATGTCCACACAAAGTTATGTTGTTATATAAAATTTTGCTCTTACAAATAACATCTACGTTTTCCAAATTAACACAATCTTATTATAAAATCTGGATAAAAAACACAACAACAACAATAATAAGAAAGCTCAACAAGGTCGGCAAGATTTGTAGTTTGCAATTAATGTTAATGTTTAATTAGTGTTTATGTTTTGTTAATGTTATGTTTTAATTTGGTGATTTGCTGATCGTTCATTTCTTACTTTTTATTAATATTTAAACGATGATATTCTTTAAAAAAAAATACCTGTGTTGGTCTATAGTTATATTCATACATATAATTATTATAAGCAGATAAAGTTTTATTTATCATTTACTGGACCTCCAAATGTGCATTGGCGGAACCCAGGATATTATATGTTAGATGAAATATAAGTGATGTAAGTTGCTAAACTTCGAACAGCAATAAGAATTTTGTTTTAATGGAAAAATGATTTTAGTCATAAAATTATCGCGCCTTATTTTTTTATTAATAATTTAGCTGTTGCGTACCTCGACTTTTTGTCCACCCTTTTGCGTATCATTATCCCAAGGCCTGAAGATTTTCGGCTGCGACTCCTTCGTGCCCATTACTCTTGAGAAGATGTCACTTGATTGAAGTCTACCCAAGGACTTGCCGGTAAAGTCCTTTCTCCAAACAAGGGTGAGAAGGAGGGGGTGTTTTTCCTGTCCCCACCCTTAAAAGGCAACTTTTACCCCCCCAACAATGAGGGATTGCGGTTTGTCATTCATGCCGAAAGCTAGGGGTGAAGCCTGGTTTTTTATAGCCGGCATCAGAAGGGAGGTTGTTAAGGATAAATGATTGCAGAAGTGGTTTAGCACACCCTATGGCTCCCGCAAACTAGGTCCGGGGGGAGCTGGCTCTCGTTGAGACAGTTGTTTACCCCCATGAGGTGTTTGTTTTTACGCAATAATAACGAGGTGGCATTATTTGAAACGTTCAGGCGTTACTGGCGGTCGTAAAACCCTTTCAAGACATCAAAAACTCATATCATTCCTCAGTTATGACATTATGTAAAAGAATAATCACAACAAAATATCATTTAACTTTGTAAACGATGATTATTCGGAGATCGTGAGATACGGTCTGGTGTGACGTAGGTTTTAGAAAAACATTTTCTTTATCGTGCCAACGTTTCGATTTTTATTGAGACCATCTCCATGTCATACATGAAAAAAATGAATTTATACAATGCTAGACAATTTTAGATTTAAAAAAATTAATTTATATAATGCTAGAAAATTTGTGATACAGATACTTTGATTGAATATAAAATTTTCTAGCATTGTACACATTCATTTTTTTAATCCAAAATTTTCTATCATTGTATAAATTCATTTTTTTAATCTAAAATTTTGTAGCATTGTATAAATTCATTTTTTTTATATAAAATTTTCTAGCATTATAATTTTTTTCACATCCTACATGTATTTGTAAAATTTAAACAATGTTTATAAATCCCAGCTTTTAAAGCTTGAAAAAGAACCTGATCAATGACTAACGTTTTATCATAATTTATCATAGGATTTTCAATTTTTTCTATATTTAAATTACCTATATTTAATTACAATATTATAAATTAATTTAAATTTCTATATTAAATGAATTTATACAATGCTAGAAAATTTTAGATACAAGTACTTTGATTGAATCTAAAATTTTCTAGCATTGTGCAAATTCATTTTTTTTAATCTAAAATTTTCCAGCATTGTATAAATTCATTTTTTTCACATCCTACATGTATTTGTAAAATTTAAACAATGTTTATAAATCCCAGGCCCTGAAGATGATCTCAATAANTTATTTATAATCTAAAATTTTCCAGCATTGTATAAATTCATTTTTATAAATCCCAGGCCCTGAAGATGATCTCAATAAAGATCGAAACGTTGGCACGATAAAGAAAATGTTTTTCTAAAACCTATGTCATAACAGGCCGCATCTCACGACCTCCGAATGTTCATTAACTAACGGTCACTAAACACCACACATTTGTAAACAATCTAACTTTTATTGATAATTGAAATCAACGCTATTAGTAATTTAAATATAGAGCAAAATGGAAAATCCTATGATAAATTATGAGAAAACGTTAGTTATTGATCGATTTCTCTTTCAAGCTTTAAAAGCTAAGAATATCTTTAAAGAATTCGTACATTTAGAAATAACAATTTGATATAGTAAAAGTTATTCCAAGACAAAACGATAAGGAATAATCAATGGTGTACAGTTCAAGTTTGCTTTTTAGGGTATTTAACTTGAGTTTCCGATCATTTTTGGCCTCAAAATATTGTTTTGCCTCGCCCGGCTTATTCCCCTGAACACTCAAACTTCGGAGAATCAGAAACATATCTGCCTAACCAAAACGAAGAGCATTTGCAGATCAAAATGGTTGGATACAATGGACGTACAAGACGTCCTTTTTACGTACAATTTTATAGATACTTGCTGTCTATTTATTGTTTAATGTTTGTACAGATGAATCATAAAACAATTATATCTACCAATGTAGATGGCGAGAAATCGAAACACGGCCGATATTACCAAAACAGCGAGGCAAGGCAGACTAAAATTATAATTTTATTTGATAAAAGCAACCTGATGGTGAGCAATAAATAAAACTTACTAACTTACTACTCTTTGGCATATATACATATTTAGTATTTACATGGGCAGGTGAGTTGTTATGCTGTTTGGAATTTACGTCATGAAATTACCCCAAAAGTGATAGGTAGCCCAGACAGAATAAACTCCATTACCGGATTAGAGACCTAGACTTTTCAATTCCTTGTAAATCGGTTTTACAGGGCGTAAGCTACGTCTCAAGAGAACTTTTATTTTTAATATCTTCTAAATTGGAAAATTCCATCGTACAAAATCCATGGGAAAAGGTTAGCTTTCCCACCTACGCTTTACAACATGCTTTCATCAATAAACTGCAAACCATACTATAACCAATTTTGAATTTTAAAAAAATTTCACACTTATAAATAAAAGTAAAAACTGAAAATTATAGTGGGTTAAAATATTTGCATTCATTTGAAGTATAAAGATAAACTTTGCACTTAAATCAGGAGTCATTTGCCTCGCCCATCTTACAATCCTGTACAAGGTGTTCGGCTAATCGTGTTACAAACTTTGCCAGTAGATGCTACATTCAAAAAGGAACCAAAAAGTCCTAATTATTTATGGTTCGAATCTCAACAGTTTTGGAGTTATTTCTCTTTTTCTCGTTTTTGAAGATTTCACGACCTTGCTTCAAATAAACAATGATAACTCCAAATGTAAAATGTTTTGGACAAATCCGTTGATACCATTGAAAATTACGTTAAAAACCAACAAGATGTGATTAATACTAAGTTTGTAAATGTTCGTGAAATAAGCGTTTTAATAACGAGAACTTTGAAAAATAATTTTTTTTTCAAAATTGAAAAACATAATATGGTGATTCTAAACTACTATTTCCAAACCTAGAGACCAGTAAATTTCAGAAAACGTACTCCATTTAATATCCTTTTTAGTAATGCAATTGCTTTTTTACTTACTTTTTTCAAAGATGAAGAAATTGATGAAGGAAAAGAAAAAATACCGTGTTTGAAGTATTGGTAAGGGGGAAAGATTAATAATACTTATTCGGAAATCGTGAGAAGCGGTCTGGTGTGATGTAGGTTTCAGAAAAACATTTTCTTTACCGTGCCAACGTTTCGATCTTTATTGAGATCATCTTCAGGGCCTGGGATTTACAAACATTGTTTAAATTTAACAAATACATGTAGGATGTGGGAAAAAGTGAATTTATACAATGCAAAAAAATATATTTTTTATATTCAATCAAATTACTACTAATCATCACACATTAATAATACTAAAATATGAAAAACATAAGAAAAATTTTATTAATGGTTTTATCTTCTTACTGTCTCTCTCAAACGTGTGTGTTATGTGTGTCTGCGAAGCTCGTTACCAGCTGTTTTAAGTCTTAAATGCTCTTAAATTAAAAGTTAAAAGGAGTAGTACATAAATAAAAAGTAAAAAAGAAAGAAAACATCCTATTCTATTTTATTTTTGTTAGAAAACCATTAAAAAACAAAATCATGAAAATAGCACTGTAAAATAATGGACAAGTGTGTTAAAAATAGAAAATTTTGCCTTCCCAAAAAAGAAGCTAGGAAGCATGAAGCTGGTTGGTATAGAAACCTAAATATTACCAGTATCTTATGTGATACAGTTGAATACGCTAGATTACATAGATCTAGAAAGCTATATAGGTTTATTTACTAAAATTATGATTGCAAAAAACCCAAGCAAAATCCTACAGCACTTGCTACCCACCACTTTGAACACCAACACAATTTTGACTTCAAAAATCCAAAAATATTACATACAGAACAAAACAAATATAAACGTAATTTCTTAGAAATGGTTTATATCAACAGAGATAAACACAGCATCAATTACAGAACAGATACATGCAAACTCAGTCGCAGCTACGCCAATATCATTAATCAAATACAATACAAATAACATACATACATCATTACATTACATTCCACACATCAAATACTTTTCACATAGTCTAATTTTCCAACAATTTAGCTTTCCTTTTCCTATTTATCCCCTTTCTATATAATCCTGAAAGAATAATCTGGCCGAACTATTACCAACACATTGTTCCCCTTTGTCGGCTTTTTTCACTTCAAAGGAGCCGACGCCTTGCACAAAATTGTCTTTTATATACCGACTTCCTTCCCCACCCCCTCAAAACCAAACATATATAAACATGAAACAGCAAAATCTCACTGGCACTCTCAACACGACACACAAGGATGGCACAATTACACAGAAGACAAACACTTTGAGTGAGTAGAAATACTTTGTTTGAATATAAAATATATTTTGCATTGTATAAATTCACTTATCCACATCCTAAATGTATTTGTTAAATGTAAACATTGTTTGTAAATCCCAGGCCCTGAAGATGATCTCAATAAAAGATCGAAACGTTGGAAAGATAAAGAAAATGCATTTCTGAAACCTACATCACTCCCGACCGCATCTCACGATATCTGAATAACTAAAATTAATTTAGGCATAACTGCATTCTACAAATATGACAAATCTTATTGAAGATTAAAAAAATAAAATTTTAAGATAGTAGACTTCAATTCTGAAGATTGGTGTTGAAAATAATATTTGTCCTCAAATTAAACAAAACACCATTCCATATCACAGATACTGAAAGTATTAATTTAGATAAAGAATAAGATTTAATCCAATTGTAGTTTTTTCATAATTTATGATAGCCAAGGTAAAAATTGCTATGGTAACAACTGTAAAATATATGTATATAAATTTCAATTAATTAAGGTTTTTAGTTGAGATAAAAAAGCCAGTGTCACGAGCGGGATTCGAACCGGGAAGTTGGTATCCGAGTGGATCGAAGTCACGATAGCTCAAGTGGTAGAGCAGCGGCCTATCTAGCCGAAGGCTGTGGGTTCGAATCCCGCTCGTGATACTGCCTTTTTTATCTCAACTAACCTTAATTAATGGAAAGATATTAATTGGTTAATCGGACCAAGCAAACTAGTGAATGT